TCCCGAGCAGTGATACGTAGCATTGTTACACTTCTTTTTTTTTTAAGATTTTATTTATTTATATTTTTTAGAGAGGGGAAGGGAGAGAGGAAGAGAGGGAGAGGAAATATCAATGTGTGGTTGCTTCTCTCAGGCTCCCTACTGGGAACCTGGCCTGAAACCCAGGCATGTGCTCTTGACTAGGAATCAAACCTGTAAACCTTTGGTTCACACGCTGGTGCTCAATCCACTGAGCCACACCAGCCAGGGCTGTAAGACTTCTTTAAGATCCTCTTTTTCAGTCTTATGTATTTTTTAATCAAGTTATTACATGTACATAATTTTTAGAATATACATTATGATTATAGTGCATAATAGGAGGTCTGTCCTTCCTCACTTCTGATTCCCTTTTTCTTTCTGCAACCAACTTGCAACCTTTGAGCTATGCCAGGACTTACTTCCATGTATCTCATGGCATGTTAGATGACTTATATTATCATTTCTTGATTGCTTTTTCAGCTTAAAAGAATGACTTTTTACCCTAGAGTAAGAACTTATTTCTTTGCCTCCTCCCTACCCCAAACACCGTAAACTCTTACTGTCCATCATTTCAATATATTTATACGAACATTTTTAGTTAAATCAGTTTTCAATCTTTATATCTTATTACTGTGTAACCACTATAGATGGATTACAGGGGCTGTCCCATGATGAGTGGGGTACAACTCAGGATGCCATGGAAGAAAAATTATATATACTGTGATTACATTTGCCTAATGTTTAAAATTGCCTTGTTTTCTATTTTGCTTAGTTTTCTCTTTTTTTTAATTTAATTTTTTTATTGATTATGCCATTACAGTTGTTCTATTCCCCCCTTCATTCCCCTCCACCCTATCCCCCCATCCCCACCATTACCCCCCCCTTTAGTTTATGACCATGTGTCTCAAGTTCTTTAGATTCTATATTTCCCATACTATTCTTGCCCCCCATCTATTTTCTATCTACTGTCTATGCTACTTATTTTCTGTACCTTCTCCCCCCTTCTCCTCCTCCCACTCCCCTGTTGCTAACCCTCCATGTGATCTTCATTTCTATGTTTCCACTCCTGATCTAGCTGTCCTTTTAGTTTGCTTTTGTTTTAGGTGAGGTTGTTAATAACTGTGAGTTTGCTGTCCTTTCACTGTTCATGTTTTTTAACTTCTTTTTCTTAGATAAGTCCTTTTAACATTTCCTATAATAAGGGCTTGGTGATGATAAACTCCTTGAATTTGGTCTTATCTGAGAAGCACTTTATCTGTCCTTCCATTCTAAGTGAAAGTTTTGCTGGGTAGAGCAATCTTGGTTGTAGGTCTTTGGATTTCATGACTTGGAATACTTCTTTCCAGCCCCTTCTTGCTTGTAAGGTCTCTTTTGAGAAATCTGCTGACAGTCTGATGGGGACTCCTTTGTAGGTGACTGTCCCCTTATCTCTTGCCGCTTCTAGGATTCTCTCCTTCATTTTAATCTTCGCTAATGTAATTATGATGTGCCGTGGTGTGTTTCTTTTTGGGTCCAACTTCTTTGGGACTCTCTGAGCTTCCTGGATTTCCTGGAAGTCTATTTCCTTTGCCAGATTGGGGAAATTCTCCTTTATTATTTGTTCAAATAAGTTTTCCACTGGTGGCTGTGCCTTTCCCCTTTCTGGTACCCCTATAATTCTGATGTTGGAGCATTTAAAGATGTCCTGGAGGTTCCTAAGACTCTCCTCATTTTTTTGAATCCTTGGTTCTTGACTCTTTTCTGTTTGGCCATTATTTGCTTTCTTCTGGTCCACTCCATTGATTTGAGTCCCAGTTTCCTTTTCATTGCTATTGGTTTTCTGTGCAATTCCATTCATTTCAATTAGTTTTGCCTTCATATGTTTCTCTAATTTGTGGCTGTATTCAACCAGATCTGTGAGGATCCTGATGACCAGTGTTTTAAACTGTGTGTCTGAGAGTTTTGCTATTTCTTCATCACTTAGATTTATAGGCTCTGGGGCTTTGAGATCTTCAAAGATCTTCAAATGAGCCATTTTTGGTCTGTTCGTGCCCCTTAAGTACGAGGAGCAGAGCCTTGGACTCCCAGGTCGCTGGGTTGTGAGGCTGTATGTGGGGGCGTGGTTAGAGCGGGGAAATGGCGATCCCCTCTGCTGTTTCGGGCCACTGGGTGAGGAGCAGAGCCTTAGGTGGTTCCCCAGGGCAGGGCCACTCTGGTCGTGGGTTATGACACTATGTGGAGGCGGGGTCAGAGCGGGGAAATGGCAGCGCCCTCCGCTGCCGCTCGCCACTGGGGCCTGCTGGGTCCCGTCCAATCGCCCACTCCCTCGCTGGTCTATCTGTGCACAAATGCGCAACCACAGTCAAATCTCGCCCCTGCTCCCTCACTGGTTCCCCGCGGTCGCTCACTGGGTGGCTCACTAGGTCTACCCCTTGCAACCCCACGCCTGGGTTCCGAGCGCCTGAGTCCTTATGACTGAGTTTTCCTGTGCAACCCCGCTCTGCCAGCTGCTGGTTTCGCCCCTCTTACCTATCAGGCTGAAGAATTCGTTGTTATCAGACTTCCGAAAAGTTCAATTTTCTGTGTTCTGGCTGTGTTTTCTATTGCTATTATTTAGTTGTCTCTAAACTTGGTTGTGTGAGAAAGCACGGCATCTCCACCTATGCCTCCATCTTGGCGGAAGTCTGCTTAGTTTTCTATGTAGGAATCATAAGTCTATTCTTGAATTCTGCAGCCAAACTGGAAAGCTTCTTGTTATATGTTTAAGCACATCAGAAATTCTTTCAGCCTCATTCTTTTCTTCTTGGAAACACCCTTCTGAGTTCCAGTCCGAATTCGGACTTTCTTAGTTCGTGGTGCAGCTGTCCGCCTGAGCTGGACTCTCTGTTACTTGGATACTATGTCCTCTTCTTTTTTGGTTTACTCCTTGGATGTGGTGAAATATATATTCCAGAAACTTACTGACAACAGGTACACGGCACCTAAACAATTTTTTGAGAACTTGTGTATCTGAAATTCCTTATTTTTCTCTTACACTTAATCACAAATTAGGATATAGAAATCTAGATTAGAAATCATTTTTCCTCAGCATTTTTAAAGCATCACTCTATTGCCTTACTGCTTTATATGTTGCTTTTAAAGAGTCTGATGACACCCTGACTGGTGTTACTCAGTGGGTTGGGCAACATCCCCTATACCAAAAATTCACTGGTTTAATTCCCTGTCACCGCACAGGCCTGGGTTGTGGATTAGGCCCCTGGTAGAGGCAACCAATCAATGTTTCTCTCACACATAAATGTTTCTCTCCCTCCCTTCCCCTCTCTTTAAAAACAAATAAATTAAAATCTTTAAAAAAGTCTGATGCCTTTCTAATCCTTGATTCTTCTCATTATCCATAGAGTTTTGAAATTTGACAGGGCTGTGCTTTGATGTGGCATGTCATAACCCCTGGTCATTGGGTAGTTCCTTTGGACTTATAAACTTCTGTCTCTCAGTTCTGGGAATTTTTATTATACCTCTGAAAAACCTCCTATTTTCACTTTTTTTCTTCCTGTATCTTCAATTCTGTGTATGTGTTGTATCTCCTGCACTGATCTTCTGATTTTTAGAAACTCTTTTCCATCTCTTTGTCTTTTGTTCTAATTTCTGTCATATTTCCTTAGTTATTTCTACCATATTTTCATCCCTAGTTGTATTTCTATTACACTTCTAACTATTCTACATGTTTAATTTCTGCTACTTTAGATTTCTAGATACCCTTATTCTCTGTTTTTCTACTTTAATACCACTCTGTTCTTAAGAGCCCTAATTTGCTTTTTAAAATTTTAATATTTTCATTGTTTTCAGATGATGCCCCAATCTCTTTCATTTAAAAACCATACAGTTTGTCAATTTCCAAATGGTTTTATTTAATTCTCCCTTCAAAGTCAGTCTGGTTGAGCACGCAGAAGATTTCTTGTAAAGAATTGTCCTATTGGGGTCTGAAAATTGATATTTGCATTTGTATTACATAGATTAAAGAAACGAAATCTGTAAAATGTTTAAATGATAATCCATACCTGAATCTTTTCAAAAGTGGGATATTTATTTGAGGGATGATTGTGACAGTTTCTTTAATTAGAAATCAATATAGTTCCCAGAATTGTCTCTCTACTGCCTCATTCTTACAGTTAAAATATTAGGCAACTAGATTAATAAGTGTCCTGGAGTTAGGAGTCACTAGGTGATAGGAATTGTTCAGTGCCATCAGAATCTTATGGGACCAAAGTTGTATATGTTGTCCATCACTGACTAAAATGCAGTTTATGTGGCACATAACTATAAAAGCCTGTCTGTTCTGCTGTAGTAACCAGTTACATTGGTAAAATTTTATTTCATTTAAGATACAAATAGAGTGAATCTTTTAAAAGATTTTATATATTTATCTTTAGAGAGGGGGAAAGGAGGGAGAAAGGGAAGGAGAGAAACATCAATGTGTGATGGGGGGAGGGACCTTGCCAGTAACCCAGGCATGTGCTCTGCCTGGAAATTGAACTAGCAACAGTTTGGTTCACAGGCCAGCACTCAGTCCACTGAGCCACACCAGCCAGGGCCATATAGAGTGAATTTAAAAAAGAAGTGGTTTGAGCCCTGGCTGGTGTAGCTCAGTGGAATGAGCATGAGCCTGTGAAGCAAAGGGTCACCTGTTCAATTCCCAGTCAGGGCACATGCCTGGGTTGCAGACTTGGTCCCAGTGGGGAACACATGAGAGGCAAGCACACATTGATGTTTCTCTCCTACTCCTTCTCCTTCCCTTCCCCTCTCTCTAAAAAAATTAATTAATAAAATATTTAAAAAAAAATAAGTGGTTTGCCTTGGAAATGGTCATGAAAAGTCTATGTTTTCCTTATTCCAGCTGCTTTGATGCTATACTAGCTGGATGCCTGCCATATGCATGGAATCAATTCTGTTACATATTGTTCAGTATTTCACAAGGATTTATTCTTTCTTCTCTCATACTTTAGTGAGAATCTCTACAATTTCATTTCCCATGTCCGAGAAAGCATTCACAAGGTAAGTATAGCTGCATTTCAAAGACTTAGAACAATTTGCATTTTAAGAAGTTTAATAATTATATTATATTAACTTTAGTTTATGTAGAATGGCAATATATTAACTTTTTAAAAATCATTAAATGACAATGCTCCAAGTTAGTAAAATAAGGCAACAGTCTGAATTTTTTCTGAATTTCGGGTTTCTTAGTTGCAGACATCTGTGGAAAAATCTGAGGAACATCTCAGTTCAAGAAGCCAATCTATTTTGGATTCTTTGGAGACTGTGGCCAGGACATGTGAGTGTCTCCATTTGAGGTTATCAGCAGAGGGCATTGGCGAGCAGTGGATGTGAACTTTCTAACTCCAGCCAGGTTTCTGCCAGTAGAGAGGTTCCATAGTGCATTTCAGATGAGAGGCTGGGGCCAGAAGGTTAATCCTTAAGAGATGTGACGCACACTAAACTGGGTAGTGAGACCCGCCTCTGCATGGCAGTGCTCTGTTCCTAGATGCCTTTTGTGAGGCACTAACCCTCCACCCAGGGATGCCAGGGCAGCTCTGCCAGGTTCCTCATCTCAGCGCCTGCAGTAAGTCAGCATCCTTTTGTTCCCAGTTAATTGCTGGCTGTGCTCTCTGTAAAGACATTGCTCCCTTGGGACTTAGCAGTAAAGAAACTGCTCCCTTAGGAGTTAAAATACTCCAGTCACCTACTGTTCTACTTGCTGCTTTGGTTTCAGTGAGAGCTTTTTATAGTGAATCACAGCATCTTTCTCAGCTTTAGTTAGTCTGTGGCTTGTACAGTCCTCTGCTCTGCCAACTAGTGATCTTCGTTTAGCTGAAACTATGGTCCTGACCCTTAACAAATACAAGAGGGCTGTTACACAGCTCTCCTTAGGCAGATACCTCTCTGGAACCAACAGCCAAACAGCAAGATGGTAGCTGCATCTGTACTTGTTTGCATTTGTCTGCGTGTTTATCTTCTATTTTAAACAAATCAAAGCCAATTTATTCAAATGCCATGAGATGGATTGCTCATGATTTACAAAAATTAATGCCTTTGTGTGGCTTAGAAATTAATTCCCATATGTCTGCAAAGAAGCACTGTACTGTCTGCTGGCTTCCAACCTGAGTATCCCACACACAAGGCAACTGTGCTTTTGTTTGGAAACCAGTTCTGGAAGCCTGGAATTGTTATCCTCACAAGAAGAATTGAGATGAGGAGCAGAAGCTAATCGGGAAGGCTTCCTTTATATAACATAACATGATAGGAAAACTCATCTCTAAATGCCCAAGAACAGCACTCCTTTTGCTTTCTACCTTTAAAAGTTGTGGAGTACAAGAACGAGGAGTGCAGCAAAACTGATATTTAAGGTCCAGAAAAGCAAATGGAAGTTCCCAAGGCCCCAAGGCCAGATCAAGGTAGAGAGAGGACTGGGACTGAGTCTGGCTTATAGTAGGAATAGGGGCCTGCACCTTCGCCCCTAGTGGCTCCTTAATTGTCAGAGGGGAGGATTCAGGAGAGGGAGCCACATGTTGGGACAAGCAGTAACAAACACGGTGGCATCACACTAATTAGAAAGCCAGCCCTGGCTGGTGTAGCTCAGTGGATTGAGCGCGGGCCTGCGAACCAGAGTGTCGCGGTTCGATTCCCAGTCAGGGCACATGCCTGGGTTGCAGGCCAGTTCCCGGCGGGGGACGCACAAGAGGCAACCATACATTGATATTTCTCTCCCTCTCTCCTTCCCTTCCCCTCTAAGGATAATAAATAAAATCTTAAAAAAAAAAGAAAGCCAGGTCATTCTTGAAAATAGGCACAAGTAGCCTGTCCTCAGTCATTCCCTTTCTTGGCATAGGTAGTCATCTGGAGCAGGAAGTTAGTCACTGAGAGAGGCAAATCCCCTGTCACACAGCCAGGCCCAGTCCAGCTAGCCTAGAGCTCTGAACTTCCCAGGCGGTGCATTCTCCAGGCTTTCAGGATGCACTCACTGTGCTTGCAGGAAGAGGGGAATGTGCTGTGTGGAAATGCTTTCTCTGTTATCATGTGATTAGTGCCGTCACAGAATGAGGTCATGAGAGCTTTCCCCAGTCACCATCTGCCTGTTCAACCAGAAGGATCACTCAAAGCCGTGCAGTCTAACTCCTGTTCTTTCACTAAGGGTACCTAGGACCAGAGTAATGAAATGAATTCCCAAGGCCATCCACAGCCCACTTTATCTTGGGTTTCACCGAGATAATTAGTAGAGAGCAGTACTTTCACCTAGTAGGTATCAGTTCTATTGAAAAATGTAATTAGGAAATTGAAAAGGAGGGCACTATCAAAAATTACAAAATATCTCTTTTGGAAAATGGATAACTATTACATCAAAATTAATTCCATATGAACTGATATATCAATATAATCATAAAAAGAACTATAAGAAAACATAGGTAACAGTTTTATAATTTTAGAATGAGAAAGGCTATTCTAAGCAAGGCACATAAAATTCTTAAGAATCTTGAGGCCCATCTACATAAACCAAGTTGGAGTGGAAATATCCATTCATTGTTCAATGAAAAAAGCTCACATGCACATAGTTTGCTCCAGGACACATCTTGAGGAGGAGGGTGACTGGTCAGTGAAAATTGGGAAGGGTGTCTCAAGAAAAAGGAAGGGACTGAGGAACATCCTTTATACATGGGGCCCCAAGGCCTTTGCTCAGGCCCTCAGCGCAGCAGGGAGACAAAACCACACAGTCGGAGAAAAGGCCCTGGCTGTCTGTGGAAAATTGTCGGGATTGAGCTCATCGCAATGGAGCCTTTATCAACTCACTACGACAGAAACACATTTTTTTCAAATCATCCTCATAAGGAGGCAGAGACATCCAGAATTGTGGGAATGAATTTTAAATGATGTTTTTACAAAAAAAAAGCTAAAAATATCTGATGTTTATAGCTAAAGCAGAAATGAAATGAGTCCCCTCCTAGAGAACACACACACAGCATCTCTGTGTGGGTATGCACATGCATTAATGCAAAATTTTAGAAACTGCTCATGATGTTCAATCCAGGAAGTAGAACCATGGTCTGCATGGGAGAGAGTTGATCATTTTTCATTGTATTATTCTGTTATGGTTTTGAGTTATTTTCAGAAGTAAACTTTTTAGAAGAAATAAAAAAGGATAGATGTTGGGAGTAATGAGCTTATACAAAGGCTTCTGTAAAGAAAGTGTGTCTCCAAGGGATGAGGAAAGACTATGTGGGCCACAGACAGGTGTTTTCTGGCACCGGATCTGGGATTGAACACTTTGCTTGCCTTCCTCATTCTCTGCCTTTGTGGTTAGTAATGCTCACCGTTGCTAAGAAACCCTGCTATTTAGGAACTCGTCTAGGATAGGATCATTATGTTTGCTTTTTACTACAAATACTTACATGGATGCCTGGAAAAATATTTGATTAATTGAGTTTAGGGACAGGGATTCAGTACTTGAGATATAAGCAAACATCCTTTCTTCTAACTGACTGACCCATGGAATTTAACTTGTATTGAGCAACAGGAGCAAATTTGCTCTAAAAATGTCTCGTTTTTATTGTGGTAAAGTACACAAAACATGACTCTGTGCAAGACCACACTGGCGTGTCTGTGCCCAGTCACAACAGGTCCTTCCTTTAGCCTCAGAGCTTTGGCACTTGCTGTTTCCTCTGCTTGACTAACCTTCCCAAATCTTTGCAGGGCCCGCTCCTTTTTTACTCCTCTGGGTCCATCCTAAGTGTTTTCATCTCTGATAACCTTATCTAAACCAGGTGCCCCATCTTACTGTTATTGTAATCCCTGTTGAAGCTTTCATTACAGGGTTCATTTGTTCAAGTGCATGCTGTTTACTTGTTCATTGTCATGTGGAGCTCAGTCTGGTGGTTCCAGATCGGGCTAATCATTCTTTAGATTCTAGTTTTAGGGCTTCTTTTCATTATCATTCTGAGAATCCATTTTTAAATTTTTTTTTCAAATAAATGTAAGAGCATCTTCACCTGACTGGCAGTTTATCAAGAGAATGGCAGTAAGTAATTGCAACAATGTGTTATTAAATAAATGTGTGTGTGTAAAATTTCCATATGTAAAACAGGGGATCCAATATCAGTCCTTAGTGGCAAGCACTCAGTTCCCCCAGCCTATCAGAGCCCACGCGTAAGTGGGGGATGAATAAGTGGAGGGGGAGAAGTGGTGGAAGCGCACACACACACACACACACACACACACACACACACACACACACACACGGTGCCACCGGTACTACTGGCAGAGAGAAGGAGCATCCAAGCCAGACAGGAAACGGTATTTTCAAGCAGGTGAGAGCAGAAGGAAGAATAGGAATTGGAAGGCAGAACAGTTGAACTGGGGTGGTGGTTGAAGGGATGGGTAGAGGGACAGCGATAGAAGCAGAAGTGCTGCAGGCTGAGGGAGGAGTGGGCACAAGGCCAGTGGGGAGAGAGGTTGCTTAGGAAGCAAAGGTCAGAGATGCAGGGAGGCTGAGGGCAAGGTTAGCAGGTTGGGGGGAGAAATGAGCCAATTTAAAAATTGGGACTTCATCCTACGGCTAGTGGGGTGCCACTGAAAGTGTCAGTGAAGATTTCAGAGGGATTTGATCACATATCTGCTAAGATCACTCTGATGACAGGGCCGAGAAGGTGGGCTGAGAAGGAGGTGGGTGCTGTCATCAGGGTGAAGGTTTTAGGGTCCCCAGCAGGTTCTGAGACTGAGTTTGCCCTGGCTGGGATGTCCTCAGGGAGAGAGGGAGGGGGACAGTGCAGGAAGCCTACTGCTGTGGCTTTCTCTCCTCACTAGGGCCCCTCTGGGTGGATAGAGTCCTGGGCGCTGGCTGGGCAGGCTCAGGTGGCCATGCCAGGTTCGCTGCTCCCTCTCTGCCACTGTGGCCTGAACATAGTCTTCATGAAGTGAATTTTTGTTATTCTGTATTTAGTGCAAGAGACTGTGCAGGCCCAGAGCAACCTGGTGTTGAAAACAGTGCAGGATAAAGGCAACATGGAGCAGGCTATCCTTGAGATGCAGAAGAGATTTGACGCTGTAAGTACAGACCTCAACCCCTTTCCTCAAGTGCATTTTTGGCTTTGTCACTAAGGCCCAGAAAGATACCTTTGATGTTGCAAATTTTCAGCCAAGAACAGAGGCCAACGCAACACAGGCACCTTGGTAATGGGCCAGGGTAGAGTCCAGCTTCAGCCACGGTTCTCCAGTACCACATGGGCCCTCAGGGCTGTGCTCCAGAGGCAGCCATGCTTGTCCTTCATCCTTCGGTTTGTTTGCACATTTTATTGTGCATTCTGCATTAACCTGTTTGTAACTCTCTCCTTTCTCACTGCCTTTCCCTAGAGACAAGCAGAGTTCATAGAAATGAAGTCTGACCTGAAGCACGTTGAAGTTGTAGTTGCCCAGCAGAGTAAGAACTTCCAGCAGCTGTGCGAGCAGCTACGCCAGCTGTGTGAGAATGTGCCCAGCATCCTAGCAGAGCTGAAGAGTTTGATCTCAGTGCCTCAGGGACCCACACATGTGACAGACAGAACTTCGCAGACCTCACCACTGCTGCCCCAGAGCCTCAATTTCACCAGACAGGACAAATATGCCTGTGAGGAACCTGCTTCGGGGAGTCTTAGGATGGGCTCCCTGCGGCCTCGAGGGGAGTTCGGGGTGTGGAGTGAAGGAGCAAAGAGGGCTGCTCTCCAAGAAGAAGCCGTGCTGTTGGCTGTTGGAGGCAGCAAGACAAACAGGCGAGTCAGGGACAAGGCTGTGCAGACTAACTGCAGGAATCAGCTTATTACTAAAAGAAGCTTGGAGAACCAAGATCCTGGTGTCAGGAACCTGGTTTCCCTTGGAGCCTCACAGCCGATCTCCCGGGACTTAAACAACGTTGTAACTGGCATTGAGAATGCCCGCCAAAAACGTCAAACCAAAGACATGTTTTCACATGACCCCTGTGAGCAGAGGTTGGTGACAGAACAGAAAGGCAGGACAGTAGAACTCGGGAGGAAAGGCCAGCAGCAGCCCAGGAAAGCCCGCAGAGGTAGGCCCCTAGCCAGGAAGCAAGAGCATACTCAAGGCAAAACCAGTGCTTTCAGTTCCACAGGTCCCCAGTCTCCAGTTTCTGGCTCACAAAGTTCCACCCCAGAGCAGCAGGAACCCCTTGCTCAGCCCCTGCATCTGTGTGGCCCCAGGAGCCCCACAAAGCCAGTCTGCCCTGTTCTGGAAGGAGTGCTCACGCCCAAAAGGACAGCTGGGCCAGCCCCAGGGGCCTCCCTGCAGCTCAGTGGGCACTCTTCCCAAGACAACAGCCAGCTTTCTAACAGCTCCAAGGGGGACCACCAAATAAGCTGGTTCAGTGACCTCAACCTCGAAAGTTCCATGACCCCTCCATGCAAGGAGCCAGGAAAGAATGTGCTCTATGACCTGGGTTTTGACAGCAGTGATGATGGCTTCTGACCAGCTTGCAGGGACTTCAGCCAGTTTGTCCTCAGCTGGAGAGAAGTCACGGAATACCTAGGCTGCTGACGGCAGAAAGCCCCCAAGCCTGCATGGGACCCTCAGGGTGGGAAGGTCTGCTGGGAAGGGGGCCAGTCTGGCATTCTGAGTATCAGTCAGGTGCTGCCCACGACAGAGCACCTGCAAGGGACTAGTGCATCCTTCATTACTGAAATGAGGACAGTGGTGGTGAGAGCTGGGCCGCAGCCTGGGCCTGGGCGTTGCTATGGTGAAGGGCGGGCCTCCGCAGGGGGTGGTTGTCCTTCCCTCAGATCTGGCGCCGCAGGAGCTGGGCTCTCCAACATGTTTTTTTGTCTTTGAAATATTCCCTACGCATGACCAATATCCTTCCAGGCCTCAGGACTTTCTTCCTATTTTTGTCTAGTTTTGCTGCCACAGCATATGCAATTTTGGTCTGTGGACATGCTAAGCCAGTCTTCTTGTGAACAGATGAGTGTTGAAGCTGCCAGCGACAGGGAGGTAACAGGCACCAAACAAATGCCCAGAGCATCGCTGTTTTCCTTCCACGCCGTCCCCACCTTCCTCCTGTTTTCCACCACTCGGTTCACATTGACGAAGACCACGCGTGCCCTGCTGTTGTTTGGGAGAGCGAGCGGTGGGCTTGGATGCAACTTAGGCTTTCCCTTTATATCTTGCTGAAGTTTTTTATTTCTTTTTTTTGTATTACATATGTATTTCTTTTGTAGTAAAGAAATAAAAAAATAAAGAGAAAACTTTTAAAAGCATACATTTTTCTTTCATTACGTTATTGAACTGATCTCCCATCAGTAAATCAAGCAGGTAGTAGGAGGTGTTCCAGCTTTTTATTCCCCATGCTTCTCTCAAGACGATTTTGAGTAAACATCCTTTTCAACTTGGTTTTTCTTTTTGTTTTCCTTTATTGCATGAAAGTAAAAATTCTCATGGATGGATGGCTTCCAGAAATTGCCCATTTTCAAGCCAACGCAGTAAGTGACATTGGAACCTCTGTGTGGACCATTATGTATTTTTTTATTTTCAGGGGCGGGTATCCCACAAGGCCAGAGAGTTTGATTTGTCCGCTTCACCCCTGGAAGGGGTACGAGGCACCGGCCTAAGCTGCTCTTGCTCTCATGTCCAGTCCGAGGGCCCCCTGTGGCCTGGAGCCAGGAGCCTGGAGCAAGGGCAGCAGCTCTCTCTGAGGCCAAGGATGCAGACGTGCGCTCTGCCCCAGGCTGCCCTGGCCTCTTCTCTCCCTCTGGGCCTCCCTGGATGTCTGTCCATTCGGCCCTCCGCCAGCTGCCTCTGTCTTCCCTGCTGGTTTTCTCAGCCTGTGCCACGAAGGCCTGGGAGGAAGGGGCCCAGCCACACCTGGTTCCATCTCTTCCCTAACGGACTCCAGGTGGCCGTGAAGTGGTGGGGATGAGGCTTGCAGACCAGTGGGGGCTGTATCTGGAAATCTTTTGTTACTCTCATTGAAAATGTAATTACTTTAACTCAGAGTCAAGGCGCTGTTGACAGAACTCCATCAGTATTTATGACCGTGGCCTTCTCATTGAAGGGTCTGTCCAACTTTTAATGCCAAGGCAGGACTTTCTGTCCTTCAATTCCGTGGCGAGTTATGAAACCCTATATTCCTCCAGACATGCTTCCCTTCGTGTGAGGTAATCAAAGATCAGAGTGACTCCGTGTTCTACAAGCTGGGTGTCTTTGTAGACTGAGCAGTAAATTATCATTTAACAAGTTTGGGTTAATTAAAATTATACTGCCTGGCAATCATCAGGAAAGGATAGTCTGTTTCTTATTTTATTCCGAAGGCCGCCCCCCTTTTTTTTAACTACTGTGCTCCTGCCAGATCCAGTGAACCTGACACAGCCCAGACACGTCCCTGGAGCATTCGATGTTTTTGGCTCTTTGGACACCGATAGAGATTTGCCTACATGGGCGGATGTGGTGGGAGGTCCAGGGCCTGAGCCTGGAGCCACTCCAGGTATAGTTTGAGGATGAGAATGAAGCCAGTGACAGTACCTAATTGTCTTAACAATCCAGTATCAAAGGTCACCTACAGGGAGACCTTTTTCTGACCTCGCCTCACCTGAAGCTCACCCTGCTCACTGCCATTCCCTTCCCCTCTTCTGTTCATACAGCTCCACCCAAAAGGAGTGGGGAGTGGACTGCAAACCCCATCAGTGGCTGTCCCTGCATCTTCCATATCCAGTGGACTGTCTGACACTCATGGGCACTTGGTGCTGAGGGCTGGGATTGCTTGCTCACCACCCAAACAGCTCCTTGCAGCCCGGCCTGAAAGTGGGTCTCTCTAGCAGCCCTGGAAACTTCTTTCTGTGTGTCTTGAATCCAAAGCTCCAAAGAGCCCCCAGTCAGAGGTCTCCTACAAGACGTCCAAGTCAGCTCCCCATCAGTCTCTCTCTCTCCCCAAAGTGCCCAGAAAACAACTTTCCACCCTCCAGTAAGATAGTTCCTTCCTACAACGTTCAGCAGCTTTGAAAATTTTTCCATGCTGGGCCTTTGGCCAAAACTCTGCATCAAATCGGGCATTTTCCAGCTGGCCTACCACAGAGAGTCCTTCCCCAGCAGGGCTGGGACCCATTGTCAAGCAGGCTTCCTGAGGCAAACACAGTGCACTCGCCATTCTGCTGGCACCTAAAATATGAACATTCTCCACATACTCCAGGCAGAAAGCAAACTGCCAGAGCAGCGCCTCGGGGTGTCTACTGACGACAGCCTTGATCCATGGTCAGGCTCGGGGTCCTCCCTCGTCTGCCTGCCTCCTCCGCTGGCCTTCACTGCTGCAGTAAACGTCTTGTGCTTCAGTTACAGGACGTTCCACTCCAGAGCCAGGCGAGCCCCTGGCCTGACCATTCAGGAGGGGGAGGTGGCTGGAATTAGGCCCCTTTTGTCAATCCTTTTCGACAGCTTCTCTGATCATTGACAACTCACCACTCCTCCAGGGTGGGGTGGGGTTGCTGCCCAGTTGGCACATTCCTGGGTGCAAAGGTGAGGGCCACAGGCCCTCAGGTTGTCTGTCACCTTTCTCCTGGTATCCTGAGCCCCTTGGGTATGTCTTTGAGATTGGAAGTGGAGAGTCCAGGAGAACACCAAGGAGCCGGAGCAGGTGGGCCAGGCAGTGGCTCCCTTATCCCCCAGTGAGGGAGCAAGAGATGTCAAGAGAGGAACCCTGAGGCCTCCGAAGCCTGACTTGCCACACACAGCCACACAGAAGTGCCCCCAGATCTCACCTGGCAAGAATTCAGACTCTGGCCTAGACCCACATGGGAAACGCAACCGGGGCTGCACCAAGGGTGGGGTCTTTGTTTCCAGCCCGCAGCCATTGTTGAATTGTCTTTTCAAAGAATCCTCGCTCTGCTTTCAGGCCTCAGCTGTGGCTGGACCTTCGCTTGGCCATTCACTCATCTCTCTCCTTCTTGCTGTTCCTTCTTCCTCAGCTGTCCCCTCAGCCATCCCCTCCAGCCCCCAGGCCCTCCTGTAAGCTTCTACAGAGCAGCTCCTGCTTTAAGTTGTTACAAAGTCTACCAGTCTGCACATCCAGCTGGTTTCCAGTGGCTTTGACATTGACAGGGTGGGAGGCACCAGGGGACTGGAACCCTCTCCTTATGGGGCTGGACGGGCCCAGCTTCTCACATGCCTGGTGCTGCGGCTTGAATTTGCGGTTTGTGACTAGCAGGTTCCAAAGCTGCCGCGTTTCTATTTTGATTCTGCTAATTCACATCACAGTTTTGTGTTTCCGCAGAAACAGTTCAGTGGTTGTTTGGCTTGCCAGGATGAGTTGCGGGGGAGAGAACCGAGTGCCATGAAACCCTTTTCGTTCCTCAGTTATGACTATTACTGTCCTCCTAAGAAGTCTTTGGTCCCAGCTACCTGCACACCTGAGGTTTTAGGAAAATAAATGTTCTAGCCCTGGTCAGTGTGGTTCAGGTGGTTGGGTGTTGTCCCTTGAACTGAAAGGTCATGGATTAGATTCCCAGTCAGGGCATTTGCCCCGGTTGTGGGTTTGATCCCCGACTGGGGTACGTGCAAGGGGCAACCAACCAATCGATGTTTCTTTCCCTCTCTTTCTCCCTCCCTAAAATCAAGAAGCATGTCCTTGAAATAATAAATAAATAAATAAATAAATAAATAAATAAATAAATAGTTCTAGTTTATGCAAGTGACCAAGACAGGAAGTTCTCCTTGGGGCACATCAAGGAGCCTGAGGTGCAGAGAGGGGGGTTTAGGTCACCAGGGAAACAACCGCCCTTACCTACCTGGGACCGCGTGCTGCTGGCGCAGGGCTCACCTGCTTTCCGGAACAGCCGTGTTTCTGCAGAGAAGTGCTCCTGTACAGGATTCCAGAGCAAATTGCCCCTGTGGTAAACCCAAATGTTCACATAAACAGAGGCATACCTGTCTGCCCTACCAGGGACTCCCACACCCCCACTCAGGGCTCCGCCCTTGTCCCAAGGGCAAGCATCTCCACCCCGGAAAAAAAACAACCCCCTTTTCAGTCTTCTGGGGTTAGAACTAGATGCCATTCCCAGCAGCCACCCCCTTTGTCAAGCCCTTCAGGGAACACGAAGGGCTTGTGAGACACAGCTCGGTGAGACCTGCAGCTCCAGCCAGCACGCCCTCTGGGCGGGGGCTCCCTAGCCAGGTCCTGCTGGGCCTCCGTGGCTGGCCCCCGCCTATGCCCTGGTTGCTGAATACTGTGAAGGTCAACTCTGGCCGGGTGCCTGGTGAGGGAGGTCCATGGCTGGTGGGCAGAGAGGAAGGTTTGAGAAAACAACTTTAGCCCTGGCTGGTATGGCTCAATGGATTGAGTGCTGAACTCTTTGCCTTTGCGAAGCAAACGGTCATCAGTTCAATTCCAAGCCAGGGCACATGCCTGGGTTGTGGGTCAGGTCCCCAGTTGGAGGCACACCAGAGGCAACCACACACTGATGTTTCTCTTCCTCTCTTACTCCCTCTCTTCCCAGCTCTTTAAAAAATAAATAAAATCTGACTTCTGCCAAGATGGAGGCATAGATGGATATCCGTGCCTTCTCACACAACCAAGTTTAGGGACAACTAAATATTAGCAACAGAAAACACAGCCAGAACACAGAAAATTGAACTTTTCGGAAGTCTGTTAAAAACAAATTCTTCAGTCTGACCGGTAAGGGGCAAAACCAGCAGCTGGTGGAGCGGGGTTGCACAGGAGGTCTCGGTCAGACGGACTCAGGTGTGCGGAATCCAGGCGCAGGGTTGGTCGTATGTGAGCGACTGAGCGAGTGACCGAGGGGAAACAGCAAGGGAGCAGGGCTGCGGGTTGACTGTGGTTGTGCATTTGTACGTGGATAGACAAGCGAGGGAGTGGGCGATTGGACCGGGACCCAGCGGGTCCCCGCGGCCAGCGGCAGGGAGGACGCTGCCATTTCCCTGCTCTGACCCCACCTCCACATACAGCGTCATAACCCAGTGACTCTGAGTGGCCCGGCCCAGGTGAACCACCTAAGGCTCTGCTCCTACCCAGCGGCAGGAGACAGCAGAGGGTGCTGCCATTTCCCTCTCTGACCACGCCCCCACATACAGAGTCACAACCCAGCGACCTGGGAGTCCAAGGCTCCGCTCCTCATACTTAAGGAGCGCGAACAGACCAAAAATGGCTCAAGATCTCAAAGCCCCGGAGCCTATAAATCTAAGCGATGAAGAAATAGCAAAACTCTCAGACGCACAGTTTAAAACCCTGGTGATCAGGATCCTCACAGAACTGGTTGATTATAGCCACAAATTAGACAAATATATGAAGGCAAAACTAATTGAAATGAATGGAATTGCACAGAAAACCAATAGCAATGAAAAGGAAACTGGGACTCAAATCAATGGAGTGGACCAGAAGAAAGCAAATAATGGCCAAACAGAAAAGAGTCAAGAAGCAAGGATTCAAAAAAATGAGGAGAGTCTTAGGAACCTCCAGGACATCTTTAAACACTCCAACATCCGAATTATAGGGGTACCAGAAAGGGGAAAGGAACAGCCACCAGTGGAAAACTTATTTGAACAAATAAAAAAGGAGAATTTCCCCAAGATGGCAAAGGAAATAGACTTCCAGGAAATCCAGGAAGCTCAGAGAGTCCCAAAGAAGTTGGACTCAAGAAGGAACACACCAAGGCACATCATAATTATATTAGCCAAAATTAAAATGAAGAAGAGAATCCTAGAAGCAGCAAGAGATAAGGGGACAGTCACCTACAAAGGAGTCCCCATCAGACTGTCAGCAGATTTCTCAAAAGAGACCTTACAAGCAAGAAGGGGCTGGAAAGAGGTATTCCAAGTCATGAAATCCAAAGACCTACAACCAAGATCGCTCTATCCAGCAAAGCTTTCACTTAGAATGGAAGGACAGATAAAGTGCTTCTCAGATAAGATCAAATTCAAGGAGTTTATCATCACCAAGCCCTTATTATAGGAAATATTAAAAGGACTTATCTCAGAAAAAGAAGTTAAAGAAACATGAACAGTGAAAAGACAACAAACTCACAGTTATTAACAACCACACCTAAAACAAAAGCAAACTAAAAGGACAGCTAGATCAGGAGTGGAAACATAGAAATGAAGATCTCAAGGAGGGTTAGCAACAGGGGAGTGGGAGGAGGAGAAGGGGGGAGAAGGTACAGAAAATAAGTAGCATAGACAGTAGATAGAAAATAGATGGGGGGGCAAGAATAGTATGGGAAATATAGAATCTAAAGAACTTGAGACACATAGTCATAAACTAAAGGGGGGGGTAATGGTGGGGACAGGGGGGTAGGGTGGAGGGGAATGAAAGGGGGAATAGAACAACTGTAACAGCATAATCAATAAAAAATTAAAAATAAATAAATAAAATCTTTAAAAAATAAATTAAATACAAAACGACCTTATAATTTCTTCTTTCTACAGAAGTGATATATGTCCACTGCAGATAAATTAGAAAATACAGGGGAAAAAAGGAAACTAAACCTGTCCTGTCCCCTCCATGACAAATTTTCTGCATGTGCACTCATACACATTTTCACAGGCTCAGGATCAACTGCATTTAAAAAGAAAATACACTTTCCACTTCGGGGTGACTGTAGATGAGCAGGGAAGCTGCCTCTGTAGTGAGTTGGCGCATTCCCTTTCCCCCGCTTCCCGATCTCACACCTTACATGACCATAGAAGGTTCGTCACATCTAAGAAAGGAACGCGCATTCACAGGAACTGAACTCCAAATTTCATTTAGATTTCGTCGGCTTTTCCAGTCATGCCCGCTTTCTGCTCCAGGAGGCAATCCGTTGCTTCCAGTCACTGTGTCTCCTCAGTCCCCACCGGTCTGTGACAGTTTGAGTCTTTCCTTGCTTTTCATGACTGTGATGGTCCCGAGCGCTGGCCAGGTGTGCTGCAGAACGTCCTCCAACCTGGGTCGCTCGGACATTCGGTAAGAACACCGCAGAGGCAGAGCACCCCCCTGACAGGGTGTCACACCCTGTCGGGGCTGGGAGACACCCACAGAACATCACGATGGCATTCACCTTCGGTGCTTGGGCCTCTCCATGCACAGCTCTCGTTTGCCCCTTCCCTACTCTATTCTGGGGGAGCAAGTCACCAAGTCTTGCTCATGTTGTGGAGGGGCGGGGACAGGCAGTGATGGGGGGGATGGGGATTAGGCTCCAGCTCCTCCAGGGAGGGTTTCCACAGCAACGCAGTGTTTGGAATGCGCCGGTGCGAGGCCTGGTGTTTTGCATATCGAGTGGCCTGACATCTCTCTCCAGACAAGAGGGCCCCCTCTCCTCAGAGCGGGCAGCAGGGGGTGCTCTGAGCAGTTCACGTGCTCTTGTTCCTCCTGCTCCGGAGAGGAAACTAGACCCCAACTCCACAGGTTGTGTTTATTGAGGGCCCTCTGCAGTGGCAGCTGTGCCACCGGGAAAGCCCACCCCCCAGCGACCAGGGCTGGTTTCCAGGGTGCAGGCAGGTGCCAGCATCTGTCCCTAAGGAGTGGGCGTGTGGTTTCCACCTATGAGCCCAGAGGGATCGCCCGATGAAGCGTGTGTCCCTGGTCCCGCAGCCTGCCCTTTGTGAGGTCATGAGCTTCAAAACTGTCCTGGGGGTGCCTGGGCGGCGGGGCCTTCCTCCTCAGCTCTTCCCCACCCACCGGGAGTCGTGAGCACTGCCCAGAGCCTGTTTCTGAGAGGCGTCTTGCCTTGCCCGGCAGCTTGTTAGGTTTCCGAGGGAATGCCACGGTTTTGAGAGCATTGTCCAAATAATTTGATAATGTCCTTTCCAGGGAGGGGACTGGAGCCAGCCCTGCTAAGCTTTTGGGGCTGTGCTGACCTCAGAAGAGCAGGACCTGGCCCCTCCTTCGCTCCCTGCCTGTCTGGCCCTGTCGGGTGGTTGCCTCGGGAACCTCAGGGCCCCCAGACCTGCAGCAGGAGGGACGAGGCTCAGGAGTAACGGTGGATGCGCAGGCCCTGGGCGTGCCTTTCCCTGTCCCCTCCTCAGCAGTGCCCAGGTGTCAGGTGCACAATGTGTGGCAGGGAGGCCTCTTGAGAATGTCCTGTCAGGAGGGGACCAGGGGTGCTACCAGCCCCTTCGACACAACAAAGAGGCCTTTGAGCTGGGCAGGGGCAGGGATGGGGGGCGGAGATGGAGGGGAGTCGGCCTGGAGATGAGGAGGGAAGGGGCCCAGGCGGGAACCAGCAGCCCCCTGTGTACAGAGTGGTGTGTAAAGAGTGCAAAGGGAGGGAGGCAGAGGGCCTAGGGCCAGGGTCCTTCTGGAGCCCAGGTCCGCCGTGTCAGACGAGCTGGCCTGGGGTGGGCGGGTCCAGAGGCCCGCCTGGTGGTGGCCGCGGCAGTTTCCAGGGGCTCACTGGCGAGGCCTCGGCCCACACCTGCCTTGAGTTCTGAGTATATTGACCTCCACCCAAATGTTCAGTGAAAAAAAATGAACAGGAACAAACATTTCAAAGCAAGAGGATCAAAAACACACAACTGGGCTTTCAGCTCAGCAAGGAACACAGGAAGTCAGGAGGGTGTGATGACCCGGGCCTGGTAGCTCAGTTGGTTAGAGAGTCATCCCTACATGACAAGGTTGTGGGTTTGATCCCCAGTCGGGGCATATATAAGAATCAACCAATCAATGCATAACTGGGTGGAACAATAAGTCAATGTTTCTCTCTCTCAAAATCAATAAAAATTTTTTAAAAGAAGGGTGTGGTGATTCAGATTCTACCAACCCTTTGAAACATGTGACTGGCTGCCTCTGCAGCCACTGAACAGCAGCCTCCGGCGGGGAGGAGTCAAAGCCCAAGTCAGCTGGCCTCACTCAGCATGGTACTTAAACGGGGCCATCAAGTTGTAGTCCTCTTCCAAGTCCAGAATCGTCTCCACAATACTGTGATCGTCGAAAGCCTGCCTGAGGCCGCCGGGCTCAGCCTCTGTGAGCTCCTGCGGGCCCTCGGCCATGAGCAGGGCCCAGGCTTCCTCCGTGAAGGGCAGATCTTTGCAGGGATCACACACGCGGTTCAACTCATTTTCAAATTCTAGTTTTCCAGCCAGTTCTTCAATAGTCCGGATGCTTGTATTGTCTTAAAAATAAGAACACTCAGCATTATTAGTCTAGTGGGAGGTTTTCAGAGATGCAACAGGCACAAGTGAAAACCCCAGGTGGGCGGCCTCTCTGCTGGGGTCGCACAGAGCCGGGCACGCCCGTCCCGAGGCGACAGGTGGCCAGAGCCAGCGTTGTCCTCGCTGGCCCCAGCATTCACGGAACCCCAGCACGCTGCTGGCCCCCAGGGAAGATGTGCTGGGGACAGTACAGGGGTGTGCGGGCTTGTCCTGGCTCTCGGGAAACTCCCCGGCCCACAGGCGTGACCAGGCTTAGTGTGGAAAAGAAATGGGATTTCAGAGAAATCAAAATGCTGCCCAACGCTGGCAGGGCCTTGGAAGGTGGTGGGCAGAGGTAGTAACAACTTCGGTTCACCTCCTGGGGCTGGTGGAGGGGACCCGGTCCGCTGAAGGCGTGGGCTGGCAGGGCTCTTGCTTTGTGGTCTAGTACCTGCCACCACCGGGCCCGTCCTTCATCGCCCACAACCTGGAGGCTATGTGGACCCAACAGCTCTGGGCAGCCGTTGGGGCTACACACCCCTCCACCAGGAGCTGCGTCCACTGTGTAGTGGGAGCCTGAAAATAGGGCACACATAGTTCACCCCAGATACACAGGGGAGAGTGTAGGAAAAATGTCTGACCAGACGCACAACACTGTGCCAATGGTCTCCGGGTGGTGGAGTCACAGCGGAGCTTTGGGCATCTGACGTTTAGTCTGAGCTTGTGTTACACACCACAGCTGGACTACTATGCCCTCCTCTTTGCCTATGTCCCATTTCCTTTAGATCTCAGCTCAGCCACCAAGTTCTGGGGCCACCGTCCCCTGCCTCCAGGGATGGCTCCAGCGTCCCCTGCGCTATAAATAGGCATTTCCGAAGTGACTCCACCAGGCAACCAGCTCCACGAGGCCTCTGCGCAGAGTCAGCTGTGAGACTGACCAAGAACACGGAGGAGAGACGGGAGGGTGGTTTGTATGATACCTGCTAACCCAGGGGCCTTCGGGGGGCCCTCTCCCCGGGGAGAGGGCGGCACGCCCGGCCGTGGCACTCACCGATGATATCAAGCAGATCCTTGGTAACCTCTTGGCTAGAGTTGCTGAGTGGCAAGTTTGAGTCAACCTTGGAATCTTTCTCCGTTTCTTTCCTGCAGCCCACCAGGTGAGAAGAAAAAGGTGGGGAATTAGATCCACTTTGAAGAAAATATTGAAGGGGATCTCTGTTAGGTGATCTTTAAGACAAAAGTGTACTGGTAGCTTTTAAATGGTCATTTCTGTTGCGATTAGAGGACAATGCATCACAGACTACACATCATGTGTCTGAAAGCCAGGATAATTATTTGCAGTTCAATGAAAAAATGTAGAAAACCAGTGAAATGGCTTCTCCATTCTCTGTCACTCCACAGCGAGGAGGGCAGAGACTGTATTTCGTGTCTGGGCCAAGCGGTTTCAAGCTGCCCGGGAGAAAAGGACCAGGGGAGCCAGTAGCCCTGGGGTGGGGAGAAAGCCTGGGGTGGGGGCGGGAGCAGAGGTGAGAATGGGGCTAGCCATTCGCCCTGTCCCCCGTGTGGGCAAAGATCACCAGAATTAAATCTGTGTTTCTGTGGCATAAAAAATGATGTGACTTGAAAATTCAGGTTTTTGAACATTCACTACATTTGGCTGCTGCAAAGTAGTTTTCGTGATTGGCTTGACAGCAAGGACAGACAGACACATACACACACACAATCTCTCTCTCTTTCTCTCCCCCCATTTCTGGGCCAGACTGCAGTTCTGAAGAGGGGTCCCCAACTTCCCAAACACAGTCTTAGAGCCGCCAGAGGCAGACGAGAGCAGTGTTAATGACTCAGTGAGGATCTTCAGCAGTTTTCTTAGAAATGAGGTCCCCCTAAGTGTAGCTGTCACACCATCAAACTGGAATCACCTCAGACTGTCCTTCCTCCAGCTCTCCCCGTCTCCTGCTGCTCTCCAAAACTGTCTTTCCGGCGCCAAGATGGAGGAATGCATTAATACGTTTTCCTTGCTGGTCAGAGGTTTTCTCTGGGGGCACAAAGCGTGTGGCTTTGCATTTACTGGGGGAAGGTTTGGGGCAGAGGCAGGGCTCTCGGTCTCCGGAGCGCAGGGGACGGGAGCGAAAGCTGCAGCAGAGCGGGAGGCAGCGAGCGGATGCCCCGGGCAGCGCGGCCCGCGCCCCGCTGCGGGGAAGGAGCGCAGCGCGGCGTCCGCCTCCGGCCTCTGCCGGCCCGCGCTCTGCTGGGCCCGACTGACTCCCTCAAAGGCCCGGTCAATGGCTGCGGTCAGCTCCTTCCTGCATCTTCTCAGTTTTTCTGACATCTTCCCTAAAAATGACCACGTCTTCATTATGTAACACTTGGAAACGTAGAGCAACATGAGAATGATGTTTCGGTGAGGCTGTAAACCACCCCAAATGGGACACAAGCCGCCACGATTTCCTCGGGCTTCATCCACGCCACAGGCCAGTGTCGCCATAGGCCAGCATCGGGGGACCCCATACTCTGCTCCCCGCAGTGGACCCGCCCCCGCCCCGCCCTCCCGCGGGCCAGCGGCCTCAGCACCGCCCACCCCTGCTCGCCTGGCCTCCTAAGGAAGGTACACCGGCTGCCGGTCCTCACCCAGCAGTGCGGTCACACCGCCACCCCCAGCCAACGGTCACAGTGGGACTGATCGCACGAGCCCGAGACCAGCCCAACCGCCACGGGCCAGGGTAAAGGTCAGACAAAGGTCCTCAATAGTGACCTGTAAACCCACACAGGGGGAACAAGGGATCCCACCCCTCCCACCCCCATTCGGAGAAGGCAGGGAATTGGGCTCTGGCCTCGGGATGGGGTGCTGGGGGGCGGGGAGTATGTAGGATGGACCTCGGCAGTGCTGGGGGTGGGGCCCCACGAGAGAACCCAGGCTGGAGGTGCAGGGATGTCATTTCTCAGCAAGGATTGAAGGTCTTCCTGAGCCTGACAAACTCCCAGGGAAGTCCAGTTGTCAAGCCAACACAAAGCAGTGCAGATGGACCATGGTCACCAGCAGTTTTGTGTATCCTCTTTTAAGTGACAGCTAATAAAACTTAGTGTATCCAGCTGTAAGGGGGATGAGGGGGCGTACCAAAACTGTTAGGTACCACTCCAGATGGAGGGGCAGGGGACCCCCACAATAAATAAGTTCATTAGGGAAAGCTGGAAATTAGAAATGAGGTCAGTGGCTCATTTTTAGGGAATTATCAAACCCATCACAGCAAGGGAGATGGGGACACACTAGTATATACTTGAGGCCCTGTTTACTGTGCGCAGACTCCTGGGGTGGACTGGGCACTCGCACCAGGACCCGAAATGTGGGAACTCAGGGCCGCACCCCGCTCGGCGTGGGTGGGTGTGCCTTTCCCTCCCCTGGAACCCCCCCCCACGTGCCAGCGTGCCCCCTGCCCAAGCCCCGCAGCTCCAGGGGTTTTAGAGAAGTCTCACCACCTGTTTAAAAAGAAAAAAAACTCAGCCTCTTGACATAACTCTTCTGAACAAACAAGGGTCTTTTTTTTTCTTCTGCTCATAAAAGAAGGGAATTTCCTGATCTGGTTTTTAGACCAAACACTAGTAGTCTTCAGAGGGTCAGAGGTTCTCCTGGGGACCACACTGGTGCTGAGGGTGGCAGGTGGTGGAGGCGGCCTCAGTTGGTGTCCATGCTGCAAGCCTCCTCGTCCCCCAGGCCCTGCTGGGAGCTGCTTGGTCCCATCCCTCCATCAGAGGACCCGGGAAAACTGGTGAGTGAAGGCGGCTTATAAAACTCATCATCTCGACGCTGGTAAAATAGCACATAAGCTGCTTTTGTCTGAAACACAAGAGGGGAAAGTTCATTCACTGGCTGGAATATCACCCATTCTTCCCAGTTTTTCTCTCACACTATTCAGATCACGCCCTCAGGGACCTGCCATCTGGCCACATGCACCCCCACACACAGGCAACCAGGAAGGCCCTTCCACCCGAGGCTACTTGTGCTGACCCTACCCAGGGAGTGGGGACAGGAAGGTGCCCTGTGGCAGGTTCTTGAAGAGACTCAAGCTTCTCATTTCGGAAGGGTCCCAGAAGGAACGGCAGCCAGCTGGCTCTCTACCACGCCTAGCTCCTCAGCACATCCCACCCAGCCGGCCCGAGACCCTCCCAGCTCTCATCCACGAAAGACAGGAGAAAGCAGGTACCAGGGCCCACTCACCACTATCTGATCCTCAGAGGCCAGGGACACATTGCTGTCATCAAAGTAATACCACTTCCTGTTCAGTTTGTTCTTCGCGTATGCGGTGTCTGCCAAGTCAAAAGGAAATGCTCTAGCGGCCACCAGAGAACCCATCTGGCCAGCTTAACAGGCTTGCACTAAACAACAGAACTCCAAAAAAAAATGAAACAAAACAAAGACCCTGACATTAAAAATAATATACAGCTTGTGTCTTTAACAACCAAAAGATAACTCATTCCTTTTTAAAATCTGTTTCTTCTCAAAAAGGCTTGACAAGGGTGAAAATTCAGCTGTTGGGGACCAATGCTTCAAACTGTAATTTTGGGGAAAACAAAAAACCAGAGAAATCCTGTGTCAACTTTCAGGGTGGTTATGAACAATGACCCAGAGCCAGGGAATCTATAAAAGGAGCCAAGACTTTAGGATTTAAGCAAAATAACAGTTCTCACGAGAACTGCCAAGGCTGCCGCTGCCTCTCACTGCTTGGCGCCCGTGGGGTGCACCGAGTGAGGAGCGCCCTGGGCATCTGGGTTGGCAGGACTGGGAGGTGGATGGGGCAAGTTCATCCTTCTCTCAAACTGTGAGTCAAGGGCCTGCATCTGGGTAACAGCTCCTCACAATGACCCAGGCATCCCCCACAGCCAACACTCCCCGTCTTGGTTTGACACTATTTCTCGCAGGGTAGGCCGTGCACACTCCCACGCCACCCAAACTCAAAGAAATGGCAGAACGTGGTGGGATCGGTTTCTGGCCTCAGCCTGCCGTGACCGCTCACTCCTCACTACACTGCCTCCTGCACGAAGTGGCAATGAAGAGCAAAGGAGAAGGTCATGGGCAAGTGCCGAGGGCGGTGGCTACTGTCTGTGCTGGGTGTGACAGCAGTAAGTGGCTCTCAATCTCGGAGTGCCAACTGTGGGCCCAACGTGGGCCCTCCCACAACCAATCTAATCTCACGGATGAGAAACCTGCCCAAATGCTACCTTCGTATGCTAAAATAGCAGTTAAAAATGACTCCACTGGACTGTGAACACAAACAGATACCAAAGTTAATTTGGGGAGATAACAAAAGGTTGTGAAGATTAAGTGCTGCAGGATGTGATCAGAGACCCCTGACAGCCACTCCACTCCAGCGAGCCCCAGTTTGAAACAGCCTCTCCCTGCAGCCAGGTGTAGCCATGTGACCAGGTGATAGCCAAGGAGACGTACGCAGGAGTTGAGGGGCTTCCGGGAAGTTTGCTTAAAAGGGAAGGTTGTGACTGTTTTCCCTCCTTCTGATGGTCTGGAATGTAGATACGCTGCCCGGAGACTGAGCAGCCAGTAGGTGACACAGTAAGAATGGGGGACAGGGGAGGACGAGGGCCAGGGCAGTTCTGTTACCCACACTGAGCGTGAGTGGAGCTGACGCCTCCCGTGGCGTCATCTCCTGGGGTCCCGGCACTGGCTGTGGTGGCAGCTGGTACAGTGCAGACGCAGGAAAAGAGGAGGAGGAAAGACAGCCCCTGACTTAAAGGTCCCTAGTACTTTTCCATAAACAGACAAGAAAACGGACGAGGTCCTTTCACTGTAGAAGTAAACCTACACACACGTTACAGGAATTCTGGGAAACAAAGTAGAGCAAGGAGAAAAAGAGTAAAAGGAACATTTTGGCCCCTCTCTCCCTAGGGTTCCCCAACCCTGATCACAGCTCCTTGTGATTTTAACACAGTTGTGACCCTACTGTGTACTGCTGTTCTGTAATGACGCAACTTCGTGTAGTTTTCACAACACATCGCTGGCCTTTCCCACAGATTAACTGCGTTCTGCAGTGGCCATGAGGGACACCAAGCAGAGGGACAACTGCACCAGCTCCTGATTACCATGCTGTCGCTCACTTTTCATTGTTACAAATACACGGATATGTTTGTGCATAAAGCTTTCCCCAACGTCATTTCCTTGGGATAGATTCCCAGGGGTGGCAATGTTGGATAAAAGAATATGAAAACAATCAAACAAAAACAACCCCTGCTCCCCAAACCCCCCCACAACCTGTACAAGCGAAGGGGCAGTGGTATGGAAAAGGCCCGAAGCCCGGTGCTCAGGCTCAGGCCTGGTGGCAGGGAGAGGACTGGCCAAGGGGCCGTTTCGAAACCTTAGAAAGGAACACGCCAGTACTTACAGTGACCGACCCCCATGGCTCCGTAATGATTGGACACGGCAATGAGGTCATACACGTAAGGCCTTGCTGAAGGGTCACAGACAAACTCGGACATGTTCAGACCTCTGAGCACAAGACACAAAAACAGCCCTTCAATACATCACACTTCAGGAAAGCCGAGTGACCCAGCAACGCCATCCTGGGTCGGCGTGTTCGAGTGCAGAGCGGGGCACTCGAACACCTGCTGCGGGAGGAACAGGTCACAGGGCAGGCCCGGGCGACACCAACCCCGGGAAAATGGCGAGGGAGGGCTCCGGGCCCACACAGGAAGGTGGCGTAACTACGTACAAATGGTCGTTACTGTCAAAATCACACCTGGTGTCGTGGAAATTTACATTAAACCAGAACAGACCCCGAAAACTCTTACTGCCGTATTTTATTTTGAAAATTTCCTACACACAGAAAAATTAAGGAGTTTCCAATACATACCTATCCCCCACCCAGGTTCTTCCACTGACACCTCTACACGCAGGTGCATGTACACCCAGGGTCTAGGAAACGCCGCACCCCCACTCGGCAGTTTGAAGGCTGCATCTCGTGGAGTAAATCCTGTCCTGTGGACTTGCCCACCCAGAGACAGGATGGTGTGGGCGCACCCACCCGCGGCCCCCACAACCCAGTCTGCCCCGCAGAGCCCTTCCTGGTCGCCTCGTCCCGGCTCACGGGCAGCCGCGCGTGCCCCTGCCGTCCTGCTGAGGCCAGGCCCCCGGGACGGAGCACAGACGGCCGGACCAGTTTAATGGGGTGGCAGGAGGGACTGAAGGGGGCGGCAGTGGCGGAACCGTGAGCATCACCCCGGGGAGCTGTCCCACGGCGGGTGGGGGGAGGGAGGCGAGCCCGCAGCCCGCCCCCCGGGGGGAGCAGCGCACGCCGCAGGCAGCCAGGCGTGTGGCGCCAAACCCTCTGCCGATCCGTGCCCAGACTCCCCCGTTTTTTATTCTAGTTGTTTTTTATTTTTTAGGTTTTATTTATTTATTTTACACAGAGAAAAGGGGAGGGAGAGAAACATCAATGTGTGGTTGCCTCTTAGGTACCCCAAACTAGGGACCTGGCCTGCAACCCAGGCATGTGCCCTGACTGGGAATTGAACCAGTGACCCTTTGGATCACAGGATGGCACTCAACCCGCTGAGACACACCAGCTGAGCAGATCTCCCCATTTTTTAAATATTCCCAATAATGCCCTGGCTGGTGTGGCTCAGTGAATTGAGCGTGGGCTGTGAACCAAAAGGTCGCCAGTTTGATTCCCAGTCAGGGCACAGGCCTGGCTTGTGGGCCAGTTTTCAGCAGGGGACGCATGAGAGGCACCCATACACTGATATTTCTTTCCCTCTCTCCTTCCCTTCCCCTCTAAAGACAAATAAAATCTTTTAAAAAAGAAAAAATAAAAGAAAAAGATAAATATTCCCAATAATAATGTGGCCAAAATGGTGATGGAAGAAGCCTTCTCTCGGGTGGTAAGCACACAACACAGTGGACAGACGACATGCTGTGGGACTGTGCTCCTGAAACCTGCATAGTTTTTTAACGTTTTATTTTTCATTTATTGATTTTAGAAAGAGGAAGAGGGAGGTGGGAGGGGATGAAAAGGAGGAGGAGGAAGGGGAGGAGGAGAGAGGGAAACACTGATTTGCTGTGCTGCTTATTCAGGCTTTCTTTGGTTGATTCTTGTACACCTGACCAGGGATCGAACCCATAACCTTGGCATATCAGGACAACACTCGAACCAACTGAACTACATGGCCAGGGCGGAAGCCCATATAATTTTGTTAACCAGTGTCACCCCGATAAATTGAAAAAATGAAAACCAACCCTGGAGCCCGGCACCCACCTGATTGGGAACTCCACCACTGTGTCGAGCTTATCCCTCCAGTACCTACTGTAGGAGAAACGTTTGAGATGGACCACCAGGATCTTCGGCAAGGCCCACAGGTCAAACTTCTTGGTGGCCTGCTGATGCTTCTTACAGTTGGGACAGTACCTGAGAAGAGAAGAGAAACCTCCACTGGGCGGGGGGGGCGCCACCCGGGCCCTCCAGCCTGGGGGCAGAGGCGCCACCCGCAGCCTTCCTGCGCTCGGCAGGGGTCTCTAAGTCCCCTTCAGACACAGAGCCACAGCTTCCCGAGTTGAGAAAACATGACACGTGAGGAAAGACCTGGGTTGTAGGGTCGGTGACATGAAAGAGCGACGCGTCCAAAAACTAAAGGGTCTGGGGGACACCGCTGGTCCCGGTGGACGCCAGAGCACAGGGTGCGGGGCGCCCTGCCCGAGAGGGGGTGCCTACCAGGGGTCGTACTCCCCGAGCGTCTCCATGGTGGTGAAGAGCTCGATGCAGTCTCTCAGGGCCATGGCAGTCTTCTTCTTCTTCTGCGGCTGCAGCACGCTCGCGTGCTTCTCGAAGGCCTGTGCGGAACACAACGCTGAGTTCTGCTGGCGAGACAAGCGCCACCCTGGCTGGGCCACCAACTCGCCAGCTCTCGTGCCTGGAACATAATGCATTTTCTGGAGCCTCTGAACACAGAATGACAAAACCTTTAAGCACCTGTCCACTTGGGAAGTGGCGGGGAGGGGAGTGGTGACCCTCGCTCGCTTCCGGCGCACTCCCTGACCAAGAACCCCAAGTGACCCACCTCAGATTCTTGTTCATCATAGTAGAGGCTCCGGGCCTCAGAGTCCCAGTTCATGGCCAGGGTGGATCCAGCTGCGGGGAAACACCGAAGAGCCACCCATTACTGGAACGGTCAGAAACTGGAAAGGCTCTTCAGGTGACAGGAGTGAGACAGGCCACTCAGGCTGTGCCACTGATACGAGCTCACACATAACCAGCCACTGCCAAGAGCAATGCTCTGCCTTCGGCCAGCCAACTCCTAACGCCTGACCTCAAATCCGCGGGCAAAGATTCCCTCAATGTCACAGACAAGCACCAAGTGCTGGTGCTGACTATATAGAAGTCTGAAAAGGCATAGGTCAAGATAGAAGAACAGTAGAGGCCCTGGCTGGGTGGCTCAGTTGGCTGGAATGTCGTTCCATACACCAAAAGGTTGCAGGTTCGATCCCCCGGTCAGGGGCGTGTACAAGCAATTGATGTTTCTCTCATATGTTTCTCTCTCTCTCTTTCCGCTTCCCCTTCCTTGCTCTCTGAAACCAATAAAAACATATCTTTGGGCGAGGATTAAAGAAAAAGAGAGAGAGATGGAGTAACAGTGACCAGATTTACTTTTCTGCCTTAAACTATGAGAAAACCCAACAAAACAGATGAAAAACCACTGTTCTCAGATGCTGGGCATGAGGCAGGGCAAGAGCAAGCTCCTGGAGAGAGGACAGCAAATAGCGCAGGTGATGGAAGCGCCAGGCCCCGGCTGACTGCCGGAGACACACTCCTGCCCGGCACGAGAGAGTGGGGAGGAGAGAAAGAGCTGAGTTGAGGGGTCAAAGCCTGGAGTTCCAGAAAGGAGCTAGAAATTGCAGAGCACTGGACCAAAGAGGACGGGGTTGCACAGAGAAGAGGGAGGTGCAGAGAGGTGGAGAGATAAAAAATATCTCAGTAAAATTGTTATTGAAAAAGTGTTAGAGAATTATAACAAAAGAAGAGAAGAAAGCCAGCTAGCTAGTTCAAGGACACTGAGCTAACTCTCCAGAGAAAGGTGCTGCAGGGCAGAGGTGCTTTGGCGGCTGCCCTCTGGGCCTGTGTGGGCATCTTCGCCGCTCACATGCCTGCCACACTCGCTGCAAGCCCATGTCAATGCCTCCCTCCGCCTGGGGGGCAGGCCCCGCTCCAGGCCCCAGTGGATGGAAAGCCCACAGAACCCACGGCCATCCTCCAGGCGGGTCACGTTTCCTGAGCGCCCTCCAGGAACAAAAGAAAAGCACATTCTTCTCATAAGCAAACCAAGTTTGGGAAAATGCTGGCCGCCCAGGAAGGCCAGCCCGGAGCAAATGTTGCAAAGGGCAGTGGGAGTGGAGGGCGGGCTTGTCCCACTGACGTCATCAAGGACCCAAGAGGAGATTGACAAGGAGGGGCATCAAGGGCAAGTGACAACACATGCCCAGTGCCTCTGAAAAGCTTTTTTTAAACTTCCCATTTAATTTTATTGCTGTAGAAAGATAGAGAGAGGGAGAAAGAAAAGGCATCAGTTCGTTGTTGCACTTATTTATGCATCACCAGCTGATTCTCATGTGTGTCCTGACTGGGGATCAAACCCACGGTTTAGTGTATCGGGACGATGCTCTCACCACCTGAGCTGACCGGCCAGGGCTGAAACAGTCTTTAGGGAACTTCAATCCAAGGGTAACACAACGTCTGTTCTCAGAGCTATATGAGACCACAAAAGCCCAAAGCAGTGAGTATTAAGAGCAAGGATTTTTAAGTAGATCCTAGGTCCCACCAGAGCCTGGTCTGAAAGGTCAGAGAAAGTGCTTACAGTTGAGTTTAAGTAACTCTTCATCTGTTTCGAGTGCATTTATGTCGGCCGTTCCATAGGAGTTCACAGCGTTGAGGCTGAAAAGCCGTTTGGGGCAGGACTGCCCTTTGACCTTCCGCGTGGTCTCCCCAGGGTCACTTCCCGGCTCCTCCTCCCAGACGCCTTTGGTTTCCGAAAGCTGCTCCTTGCCTTCCTCCAAGTGCTCCATCTCCTCTTCATCGTCTCCTAGGACACAAATGAAACACCGCTACGTCAACGTTAAAAATTTTATTTAACACCTAACTGTGGTGTTTCCTTCCGACTCTCTCCTGTGTACGTGCAACTACACCTGCCCCTTTGCATTTACTAGGCACTTTTAGGGGTGGCCCCACACGGCCCAAGAAGACTGGCAGACTGGGCACTGCCACTCCCTGCGGAGGAAGCGGAGGCCCAGAGAGGTTCAGCCAGTCACCCAAAGGCACAGAGTGAGGCAGCAGCCCCGTGGGTCCTCAATGTGGGGCCCTCGGCACGTGGCAGTTTACTGGGCTTCACCCTGAAGAGTCCCAATCGCTCAGCTTCACCATTAGGCCCACAGAGAGAAAAGGACCAAAACTAAACACACACATAACACTCAAGAAGACAGTTTACTAAGTAACGCAATTAAAAAGTCAACTTTTAAATATCCCAATATACACGGGCCTGGCTGGGCAGTTAGGTCGGTTAGCATGTCATCCAGACACGCCAAGGTCGTGTGTTCTACCTCTAATCGGGGCACATGCGATGAACGCATACATAATTGAACAGCAAAACCAGTGCTTATTTCTCTAAAAACACAGTCAGAAATGCTTAACTATTACAGTAAACACCGTCTGTCCTGTCCCTCCCACTGCTATTTACCGAACGTCTCAGGTCCAGGGGCCACGCTGGGTCCCAAGGTCACACACAGCAGACAAGGTCCATCCTGCCCTTTCTCTCTTTTTCCAGGTGAGATTGCTGGGTTCTAAGAGTTTTAACAGGCGTTTCAGACCCAAGTCGATGAGCAAATGTCCCAGGAGTTTCCAGAGAACTGGGATATGCGGCCGCGGTAAAAACAATCCCCAGACTTTCTGTTGCTGGGAGGTCGAAGGGGAAAGTTAAACTGCCAGGTCAGTCATTTCAACAAAGACGGAGGACAACTCCGACAGGTGATGTGACAGTCATGGGAGAACCCTGACCAGTGTGGCTCAGTGGATTGGGCCTCATCGCATGAAGCAAAGGGTTGCTGGTTCAATTCCGGGTCAGGGCACATGCTTGGCCTGCAGGTTCGGTCCCCAGTCAGGACGCGTGAGAGAAGACAACCGATGGATGTTTCTCTCTCACATCAATGTTTCTCTCCCTCTTTTTCTTTCTCCCTTCATCGTCTCAAGAAAATTAAATCTTTTTTAAAAAGATTTTAAAAGTCTTTTTAAAAAAGTCACAGGGGAAGAAAAGATGTGAACTACGCAGCTGGCAGTTTGGAGGAACGTCGCTAGAAGTGGAAACTCTGAGGGAAGGGCCAGGCTGCGCCGGGAGCGCTCACGGGCGGAGGAGCTGAGCCCAGAACGACGCAGTGTCCCCTCGGGCCACGGAACAGCGCGGCCTCAGAGGGAGAGCGCGTGCGACGCCCCATCAGCACCGCCCGAACCAGCCAGACTGCGGGAAGCGCCCCGGCTCTCAGGAACGTCTCGTCCCAACGCTCCCCTGGCACCCGGGGGAGCCTGCCCCACTCCAGGCTGGCCAGGGGAACCTGGCCCTGCCTGCCCGCTTTGAGAGGGACACAACCACCAAAACCCGCCTCGACCCGACTCGGGGCCGACACCTCAAGAACTCTGTCCCTCCCTGTGCCACTGGCTGCCAGTTACTCGGACAATCGCAGGAAGGCTGCACTAATGCTGTCAGAATTGAATGTCACAGAGTGTCTACCACAGGATGCGAAAAGAGAGCAGAGTCCACTGGAGGCAGCTACCAAGGTCACCCAGAGCATCAGCAGGAGACAGCGACCACAGGCCTAGCAAGGAGCCGCGGTAGTAAAAAGATTAGAAGTACTTAAAAAAAAAAGAGTTTATCTTTTGGAGAGATGGAAAGGAGGGAGAAAGAGGAAGAGAGCAGCACTGGCCTGTGACAGAACACCAACTGGTTGCCTCTTGCTACGCTCCTGATTGGAGGTCTGGCCCAAAACCCAGGCATGGGATCTGACCAGGAATCGAACCTGCAACCTTTTGGTCTGCAGGACGATGACCAATCCACTAAGCCAGACCAGTAGGAGCTAGGTCCTTTTTTAAAAAAAACGATTTTTAGAGAGGAGGGGAAGGAGTGAGGGAGAGACAGAAACAACAGTTTTCTTGTTCCACTTCCTTCTGCATTCACTGGTTGGTCCCTGACCAGGCACTGAGCCCTTGTCCGGGGCTCAGTGACAGGGGCTCGCTGAGCCCGACCCTGGCGTGTCAGGACGAGGATCTGACCAACTGAGCAACCTGAGCACAGCAAGAGCACTTGAGATTTAATTTTAACTAAACAGGGTTCGAAGCCTACGAACCAAGACTTGCATACAGGATGCAGAAGGCGGCAGCCCTGCTCCCCAACAGGAGACTGCTGGAGTGTCTAAGCAGCCAGGCTAATCGCAACGGCAGCAAATCCTTACACGGTGTAACTGTCTACTATGTGCCGGGTATCTTAAGCACATCACCTCCTTCATTTGTAACCTCAACTCTCTGAAGCAGATGCCATCATCCCATTTTCCTGACAGGTAAACCAAGGCTCTGAGGTGCAGAGCCACTTGTGCCACCTCTGCCTGTGGGCCCTGAGCACAGAACGTAGCCCCACCCATCCCAGTACAGGGAGAGTGGGGTATCTGGGGCAGGAATCAGAATACGACCTATAATCAACGTTCAAACTAAAACACCAACAACAGCTGGGAACGCCTGTTGAAGCCAGAGCCTGTGGTCGCCACGTTGAACGTCAATTCCCACCTCCCAGGACTGTGTGTGTCTTGGAGAAATCTGGGCATTCAGATTTGCACGAGTGTAAGCACGAACTTGGAGGACATTTCCAGTTCTATAGGAATAAGGACAGTCACTTAGGCCCCAAAAGAAGGACAGGAGCCACAGTGCAGATCAGGTACAGCTCCTTGGTCAGAGATGGGCTTTGGGCACTTGCCAGTGCAGGACGCCGAGGGTTCCAGGCTGCCCGACGAGCCCACCCCACTGCTGTTGGGAACTGCGGCTCTCCCCCTCCCACAGCAGGAGCGGTCTGGTCAGCCCCTGCCTGTGGTTTCCAGGCTAGAAAGAAATGCCCAGGAGAAACTCTGCCTCCTGATCGGCTGGCCAAGACACCCATCCTCCTCAGGGGCAGGTTTGCACCACCAGGGCGGGCAGGGACCGAGAAGACAGCCCTGTGGGCAGAGATCAGGTGGGTCAGAGGCCAGGTCACGGAGGCAGGCAAGTGCTGGAGAGGGCCCACTTTGCAATCCCCAAGATGTAAGAATCAAACCCTGACTCTGCCTCAGTCCACCCGAGGCGAAACCCTGCCCACAGGTCTAAGGAGACTCCTCAAGGTGCCAAGTTGGGCAGTGGACACCACCAGGAGGTGCTTCCAGGTCTGCTCCCTGGACAGGGCCCACCCAGCCTCAGAGCCTCCCCCTCCTACGTGTACAAAACCTTTGGGAGAAAGGGACGGCAAGGGGATTCAGTCGGCCACAGCCCAGGTCACAGCCCCACCGTGTGGTGAGCACGTACCTTCACAGCCGCCTCTGGAGTCGCTGCAGGCCCCAGGCCCCGAGGGCGAGCTGCCACACTCCGCAGGCAACGGCTGTTTTATGTAACGGCTGAAAAAGAAGGGAAAAACTGTTAGCTGCGACATTTACGCATTTTTCTCCACTACTCACCTAGAAATATTCCATAACTTACACATTCGGCTATTCACAAAGCAATTTTGGAAGTTAAAGGGCTTTAAGACCATGTGATGGCTCATCGCTACAAGAAATTAAGAAGAACCCAAGAGATAAGATGTTTAGCTAGTAAGTCACTGAAGACTGAGAAAGTCTTTCTCAAGTCTTCCATGAATGCCATGTGGCACTATCACTTTAAAAAATATTTCCCAGTTGCCCTGGCTGGTGTAGCTCAGTGGATTGAGCGTGGACTGCAAACCAAAGGGTCTCTGGTTTGATTCCCAGTCAGGGCACATGCCTGGGTTGCAGGCCAGGTCCCCAGTGGGGGCCATATGAGATGCAAACACACATTGATTTCTCTCTCTCTTTCTCTCCCCCTTCCCCTCTCTAAAAATAAGTAAATAAAATCTTAAAAAAATATTTCCCAGTAACATTAATTATAAGCATCAGAATAACAGTGGAATACTTTTAAAAGTTTTATTCAAATACAAAATACAATCAAAGCACTAGACTCCCTAAAAGCAAGTGACTAGCAGGTGTGACAGACATGATTGCAGGGACAAGAGGAAGGAGGCTTAGGTGCCCAGCAGCATGGGGTTTACGATGTGCCGCACGCCCTGTCCCGACAGCACTGCCCGGGCTCTCCAAGGGGCTGGCACAGAGGTGGGCACATGGGGGGTCGACATGGGTGCTGTGCGGGGGTCGTCACTGCTAAACTGAACTGATTTCAGGTAACACACAAATCACATCCCTGCCACCCACCTGATACGCTCACAAACGGCTTGGTATAGAGACTGGCGGGTCAGCCCGTGCTTGGGGACAGACATCAGCAGTGGCTGCCCATAAAGCACCGCCCCGGCAGAAGTGCTCGATGGCCGGGACCTCCTCTCCCTGAAGTAGACGGAAAGCAGGAGACAATCCGAGCCGTCCGCGGAGGCGCTGCAGACCTCGTACCTGTGTCAATCACATGAGGGGCCACGTTCAGGAGCACGTCCCCCTGAGCAGCACAGACCTGAGATGCAGCTACCTGACGGCCCGGACTACGGTTACTGGGACGGAGCATCCTTTGGCACAAAAGGCAGAAAGACCATTTTCGAGATGATTCTAGAGGCTGCTCCCAGGAGGGTCACTGTCAGCGCAGTGCGGACCTACACAGCCCGGGACTGGGGCCCCGGCACCGCCGCGATCCTCCTTCCCCCAACCACGGCCTCAGCTTCTGTGCGCCTTCAGCTGGGACTCTGCACAGAAGGAGGCTGTCATCTGGACCACCACCCCAGACACCAAAGCGCACAGGGGGCTGGGCCACCAAGTTCATCCTTTGTCACCGAGGAGTTCTACTTTTAAACAGGCATTCTCAGTGCCCTGTCCTTTAATAAAACAAAACATTACACAAGGATGTACACCTAAAATACTAGCCAAACACTATTATTTCAAGTGAAGAAGCAAATTTACAAAATGAATTGCTTGCCATCTTTGTTCAAAAACATTGAAGTAAAAGAATCATATCTAATTGTTTAAAGTCAGAGATAACCAAAGAAACTGCTAAATACAAATCAATGATTTTGAAAAATGTGTCTTACTTAGTGAATACATGGGACTGAGGAGACTTATAGATGTTTTATCCTGGAACAGATGTTACCAAAATTGCTGGCAACCGACTGTAGTCTTTCCCTCTGCCTATAGGGGGAGACACAAACTTACTGATTCAATTTTTGCAAACTATAAACACAAAAACACAAGCACATCCCTCCCCAGATGCCTGGCAGTCTTGACCAAAGTAAATGCAGGATGAGTTCTAAAAAAAACTCACAAAAATGTCCAAAGTGTGCTCTAGGGGAAGAACCCAGTGGCCTAACATCAAGGTCAAGAACCCAGCCTTGGAGTAAGGCTGGTCCAGGTTCCAGGTCTACGGCTGCCAGTTTCTGGCTGCTGTGACCAGGCTAAGAAGCGTCCTCACCTCCAAGTCTTGTTTACACAGGAGACAATGATTACCCACCGTACAGTGCCGTGGTGGGGAATAACTGTCTAGCACAGCGCCCCACGTGCTCAAAAGGGTTAGATGCTACTACACTGTTTTCCTAAGACAATTACCAATTCATCTTTAAAACAACTTGCTTTCCTGTTGGTTGGCCCCCAAGCCCTCTGGAATTTCCCTCATTGATGGCAGTGTGCCAACCTCCCCATGGGGTGATGCCCAGTTCTACTCAGCTCAGGTGTACAAACATTAGTTTCAGAACAGAGGGCGGCTATGTTGAGCCCTTGGGGTCAGAAATGGACCAGCCCTCGTGGTCCCCGTGGTCCAGCATGAGCCTTGGCGCCCTCCATTTACAAAGTGAGGAAAGTATAAGCAGGGAGGCCCGTGTGCAAGTGAGAACAGAACTAGGATCGTGGGCGTGGTCAAGAACTATTTTTAAAATGACTGAGAAGTTACAGGACAAAAACATCAAGGGGAGGAGAGGCCTCTTCTGTGTGGGGCATTCCTCACTCAAAAACAAAAACCAGCCCTGGCTGCTCTGGCTCAGTGGGTTGGAGCACTGTCCGTAACCGAAAAGCTGCAGGTTCAATTCCTGGTCAGGGAACATGTCTAGGTTGCAGGTTCAATCCTGATCCCCAATCTGGGTGCACACAATCCCCAGTACACATAGACAGGAGGTAATCAGTCAGTGCTTCTCTCTCATATCGATGTTTCTCTCTCCCCCTTCTTCTCTCCCTCTCTCTCTAAAAGCACTAAGGAAAAAATGTCCTCGGGTGAGGATAAAAACTAAAAATTTTTAAAGCTTCCTTCGGTAGAGGCAAGTTACTGAGTGGGAGGAAATAAGGGAGTCACATCAGGGGTGGGGGGCCCACAAACCCCCCCGGGCAAGGGGCTGTCTGGGAGCACAGGCAAGTTCACACACTCCACCCCACCCTCCGGGAGAGGGACAGACATAAAATCACAAGCAGCAGCCTTGAAGCAAGAGGACTTGGCAGAGGCCGAGAAGACCAGCAGGGGCCGGAGGTACTGTCCTAACAGGGATAAGAAAACAGTCTCGGGGCTCACAGAACGCCAGAGCTGAAAAAGATGCCCTACATCAACCCTGTCACTCCGAATGGCACAAGCCTAAGGAGCCACTGCTGGTGGCATGGAAAAAGGACAAGACCCTCCCTGTACCTGCCTTCTCCTGTCTTCTCCTGCCCCTCAGGCAGCTGTGACCCTTCTTGACAAAGGCACTCATTCCTGAGGACCACTGACTGGGCCTTCTTAACAGGCAGCAACTATTGACAAAAGGCTGTGTTCATCCTGAGGGTTTTCTGGAATTCTAGCTCTGAAGGGCCAGGAGATGCTTGGCACAAATGGCTGCCCACAATTCCCCAACACCCACCTCTTGCACCCAGGGATCAGGGCAAATCCACACGGCCACCGACTGCCAGAACTTCTGCTCTGGAGACACCAAGAAGGCAAGATCTCTAGAGTGTTTCCTCTGCCCTTGCAGCAGAAACTGCTGAGTACTCACACAAAAATGTCATCCCGAGGCATGATGTGGTTTAAACCTTCATCCATTTGGAAAATTTTGTGGAACCGGTGATTATACACATCTGTGACCACCATCTACATAAGAATCAACAGTAGCAAAAAGATTACAGGATGGATTAGGAGTATTTCAAAGCTAGGAACAAAGGACAGAAAATGTGCCTCCAGAGAGACCACCGTGTAACAGCCCGAGCTCAGGGGCTGAGGCCCAAGGGGGAGCAGCATGGCTGCCACCAGCCAAAGACATGCTGGCAACATCTGACCGAGGCCCACGACGGGGCCTGCCTCGAGCGGCAGGAATGGTAGGGAGTGAGCACTGACCAGAGACTGGTAGCCATCGATAAGCCTCTGGGGTGCTCCCAGGGTCAGGGGTCTCCAAGCCATCCTCACACATAGCAGAACAGACCGAACCCCGAGCACTACAACTGCCTGAAACCAGCAGGGGTGCAGGGGGGTGGGGAGGACAAAGGACACTGACCAGGGCTGGGACAAGGGAGGGTTGGAGCATCCAGGAGGATGGGTCCTCATGGGAGGGGAGGGCGTCACTTTGCCTACCCCCAAACAGGACTAGGTTCAGCGGAAAGCCCAGCATGGGCAGCTGTTTTTTAATAAAGATTTCTATCTAGATAGAACATTACGTCACTCCACACAGTCACAGTGTTTAGGCCAGGAAAGAACTTCCACCTTCTCCTGTTACAGAGGAGGTTACAGGAAGGGGCAGCAGAGCTGAGAGCACAGCCCTACTCCTGGTCCTCTGACCATGGCTAATATGACCCAATGGAGCAAAGATGGTGTTCCCCAGCCTTGGCTGGTGTGCCTCATGGGACTGAGCATTGGCCTGGGAACCAAAAGGTCGCCAGTTCGATCCCCAATCAGGGCACATGCCTGGGCTGTGGGCCAGGTCTCCAACCGGGGGCATGCGAGAGGCAACCAATCAATGTTTCTCTCCCTGTCTCTCTCCCTCCTTTTCCCTCTCTCTAAAAATAAAATCTTTTTTACAAAAAGAAAGATGGACGGTGTTCCCCCAACTGGAGCCAGAAGGGAAGTCTCCACCACAGCGCGCCACAGCTCCACCACTGAGCCCCGAGGCATCTGGATGTCACCTTTGTCCTGGCCAATGAGAACCACCCCCAGAAACGGCCACAGGTTAGAGATAAACTCCAAAGGCCTGTGAAGCGCCCCGGCCAGGCTGAGCGAGACGGACCACCCTGCCTTACGTTTTCCGCAGCGATGCCAGACAGCCTGGAGAGAGCCTCGCACAGGTCAGACACGGCCCCCATCAGCGGCACGGTCACGCGGTACTGCAGAGGAGAGGCGGGCAGGTGAGACCAGAGTGCTCCACGAGGGGTGAGAGGGGGAGGGAGGAGCATGCACTTCAGAGGGCAGGGGTGTCCTTCTGGAAACAGGCCAGTGAGGTCGGGGGTCTGCTGAGGGGCCAGCAGAGCAAACAGGCAGGTCTTCTGCACCTCTCTATTCAGGCAGTAGCGGAGGCGCTAGGCCAACTCTTTACCTCCTAACACTGCTTCATTTTGTTCTTAACTAAGTTCTTCAAAGGACTGTTAGAATTATACAACTGCCAACTGGTCCTACATCATCTTTCTTTAGAGACAAAGAAACTAATGCCAGGAAACTGCAGTACGGTCATGCAGTGAGCCGGCAGACACTTAGACCTGCTGGTCACGCCTCTCATCTGGCCTTCTGTTCTGGCCAAGCTCTCCTAGCTGAAAGGGGAGAGCCTGACCCAGCAATGCCCTGCTTCTGATTCCCGAACATTCAGATTCCAGAGCCACTTAGCAGGTCACTCAGGCTACGTTAGTCAAATGAATGGAGCATGGGGAAAAAGTGAGAGAGAGAGGCCTAGACAACTTTCTCGACAGGACTTAATGATTCGGGATTACACAAAGGTCTGATGGAGGCCAAGGGCACAGGGCAGGTGCCAAGGGATTTCAGCAGCAGCTGATGGAGCTTCCGATGCAGGAGGGAAGTGGTCCTACTCTGCAGACCACTTAAAACGAGAGGTACTATGAGGATGCCCAGTCACTTACCTGAGTAGGCCTGTGGTGAGGGTCAGCAGGGACCAGGAAGACCTCCATAACTCGATCTCTCTTCAAGGGCAGTGGAAGAGTTAGATAGCAAAATGGGTCAAAGGTCACAGAAACCTTAGCACATTCTGGGCAAACCAAAGTAGATTTGAAGAGACCATGAAATGTATCCACAATCACAGAGTCATTCCTCAACCGATGGTTCTCCCAGGCTTCTTTTGCAACCACCTGGAAGAAAGGAGAAGGGATGAGCCCCGGCTGGTGTGGCTCAGTGGAGTGAGCGCCATCCTGTGAACTGGAAGGTCACTGGTTCGATTCCCGTTAGGGTGCATGCCTGGGTTGTGGGCCAGGTCTAGTTGGGGGTATGTGAGAAGCAGCTGATCAATGTCTCTCTCACACACTGATGTTTCTCTCCCTCTCCTTCTCCCTCCCTTCCCCTCTCTCTAAAAATAAATAAGTAAAATCTTTCTAAAAAATCAAGACGGATTTTAATGGCAGCAGCAATAATCTCAAAATCCCACACCCCAAGCGCTTTACGGTTTTCAGAGTGCCCCATCTCTGCGTCATCAGCTAGATGACACCAAATGACTCCAATGTAAAGAAGCCAAGAGGGAGCAGCAGGAGTGACCTGAGTTAGCCCTTCAGGCCTGGAATGCGTTCCCCCACCAGAACCCAGGTCCACACCACCAACAGCAAGGGGCCACCAGGGCCCTGGCTCCAGGACTCAAAAGAACGAAAGAGCGCCCCTGCCATTCTCACTAGGAGGCAACTTCTCTGCAAAGTCTTCACAACATACCGCATCTGGCCGCCCACTGGCGTCCTTCAGCTCCAGGTAGGGCTTCTTCTTCACACGGTTCAGATCTTCGTGCAGTCCGTCTAGAAGAAAGGCTAGCAGCTCCTGAGAGTCTTGCTGCTGGTAGCCAGAAAACTGGGGGGCAAACCGTCCCACTTGGGTCTACAACACAAGCAACCACATCAGAAGACATGAGAACCGGTGATGCCAGAGGGGAAACTGTCACCAACACAGCTTTGCAGAGTCAGCGGGGACAGGAAAGAAGAACTCCCTCTGGTCGAAGAGCCAGCCTGTTTCCTCACAGGCCTGAAGGCGGGTGGCAGAGAGAGGGCACAGACCAGAAACCCAGGGTGACAGCAGCCATCCTGGGGCCATAGCCACTCCCCAGAAAAAGAGCGACGGGCGGCATCGTGAGCAGCCATGCCTCCTAAGTACCGACATGAACGCCTCTCCGGCTTCCTTCTCTGGTTCAGTCTCCTAAGAACTCTACAAACGGTACCTGCATCAGCCAGAGGAATCTTCCAGAATATGCCAGCCCTCCTATCCTTAACTAAACAACTGTCAGCCTCGCACTGATCCACACCAGTGACCAACCCAAGGGCACGCTCCCCAACCAGTGTTATGAGCCTCAATTGTGGAGCTCGTTGGAAAGGCCCATTTTGAGGCCCTCAGCTTACAGAATCGGAAACTCTGGAGGTGGCTCCAGCAGTCTGTGTTAAGCTCCAGAGGGGCTGATGCACCTGAACTTGGAAAGCCATTGCCCCACCCCTGTGCTGTCTAATAGTGGAACCACTAACCACATGCAGCTATTGAGACTTGAACTAATCCAAATTAAATACAATTAAAAAATAAATAAATACAACTAAAATTCAGGTCCACCCAACATGTCAAGTGGTTAGTGGCTACCACACCAGCTGGTGCAGAGAAGGTGTCCGAAGCCCCACACTACCCCCAAAAAACCTGAAGGCCACCTGTCAACTGCGTGTTCGCACCAGCTTCAACCTGATACACTGTTTCCCAGTTCTAGTCTCTCTGTGACTTACTATGAGACTAGCAGCTGACATGTATTTCCCAATATTAAAGTGACCACGGGGCTGAAAAGAATTTGTTTGCAATCTGAATAAACTATCTGAGGTGTCAATTTTCTCACTGAGCTAGTAAGGTGCTACTTTTCTCCTCCTGAATAAAAAACATGCCTATCTTTACCTTCCATTTGCTTCACAAAGGCTCCAGGAACCCCGACGGTGCAGGCAAAATAAGATTTCTCAGATTTCAAAATGTGGAGGCAAGGCACCCCCTCTTCAGCAGGAAGAAACATTTTGGTCCATGAGAAGGCCACGCTGCCCCAAGTGCACCGGCCGCAGGCTGCCCATCTCCTCCCTGATCACCCTGATCACTGCCCCTCGCAACACCTTCCAACAAGATGAACCCAAACCCTGACTGAGGGGCCCAACTCAAGCCACTGCGGGTACAGGAGAACCTGAGAGTAGCCCTCAGAGGATGCTGGAAACTAAACTGAATGTTCGTGCTCTGGCTTGAGCAGCCGGCCCTCTGAAGGCTGCACCGCAGAACACAGCACTCTGGGCAGACAGCTGACAAAGGACTTCTCGAGCAGCCCAGAGGCCAGGGCTGCAGTCCCTTAAGGTAAGTGTGTGCTGAGAGGCCGACCCACAGAAAAGAAGAATCCGATCTGTGGTGTTTTCGGTCTCGGGGTCCCTCTCAATCCCCAAATGCGAGTAAAGGAACGCATCACTACGACATGCCCCCCCCACCCCCGAAACGAGAAGAAAAGCGCGTATGTCAACCTACTTTGAACATGCGAGGTGCCACGTAAGCATCCCTTCCCGACCACATCTGCTTAATGAGCTCCGCGTAGGCCTCTGCGATTTCCCCCTTCATCCCCAGGGGGTTGTCTCTGTTGATTTCGGCCTCGTACTCATCTCTGAGAAAGTAGTCCGTCAGTGGCGCTGTATTGCTCAAGCACTGAAAGAGAACATGGTGGGAGCTCACACCCCTCCTGGGGGCACACTGGACACACCAGAGACCAAGTTCGAAGGGCCTACCGGGGTCAATGCCAACAGAAGGAAGCAGTTAGCAGGTTCTGTGAGAGGCTTGCACAGTGGGGCACAGCGCCCCCAGCCCAGAGCGAGCTGGCGGCCACCCGGGGGGCGTGGGATCGGAGGAGGTCACACCCACGAAGAACTGTCGCTGAAATGAGCTACCTGAGGGCAGAAGCTGTGCATCCCCAGTGTTTGACATACAGCGACTTTCTATTCCAGGGGAGATAGTTCTTAAAATAACTTCAGGATAATTTTATTATTGGGATTGGAACATTCCAGTGTTTCGTGAGAAGACAAAATAGAGAACCAAAGCATTATAGGACGAAACATGAGAATAAAGGCAGTAGAAAAACAACAGAGAACATCACTGTTGAAGTGTGCACTACCTTTACCCCTTCAAATTACCAAATGGAGATGGATATTAAAGTTGAACTTCATCGCATGCTTTCCTACATCTGCTGAGCTGATCCTAGAGTTTTCTTCCTAATTCTATCCCCATGTTAAATGACAGTGACTAATTTTTTAGGACTCAAACCAAGTCAGCTTTCCTGGCACTAACCCCACCTATGTTACCACTTTTAATTAGATGTCATTTAATTTGACTTACTAAAACTTCGTTTATGTATAGTTATGGAACATAATAATCCAAAATTTTCCTTTTTAAAAATTTTTTGTCATATTTTGGTAGCTGCCTTATAAAATTTGGAAAGTTGTCCCTCTGTTTCTACTTTCTGAAAGTGTTTGTATGATTGGTATTATTTCTGCCTTAAATCTTTGAGTACATTCACCAATAAAGGCATCCAGAATAAAAATTTTCTTTCACCCTGGCTGGTGTGGTTCAGTGGACTGAGCACCAGCCTGTGAAACAGGGTCACCGGTTTGATTCCCAGTGGGGACGTATGCCTGGGTTGTGGGCCAGGTCCCCAGTGGAGGGTGTGCAAGAGGCAGCCACACATTGATGTTTCCCTCCCTTCCATCCCCTCTGTCTAAAAATAAATAAAATCTTCAAAATCTTTTTTTTTAATAGAAATTTTCTTTAGTGTAAAGCTTTAGTTAGCAAACCAATTTAACAAATACAGCACTATATAGGGTTTTTTTTAGATTTATTTATTTGTTTTTTTTTTTTTAGAGAGGGGAAGGGGAGGAGAAAAGGAGAGAAACATCAATGTGTGGTTGCCTCTTGAGTGCCCCCTACTGGGGACCTGGCCTACGACCCAGGCATGTGTCCTGACAGGGAATCAAACCGGTGACCCCTTGGTTTCACAGGCCAGCACTCAATCCACCAAGCCACACCAGCCAGGGCTAGATTTTCTATTTCATCCTGTATAAGTTTGTTGAGTTGTGCTTTGCAAAGCAACTTGTCTAAAACTTATCATCTAAATTGTTTAATTTAATGACATAAAATTCTCCTACTATCCTCTTTTTCATGTCTGTACTGATTTTTCTTCTTCATTCTTGGTATCAAGTCGTTTATACCTTCTTTCTTCCTGACCAGTTTCCCTGGGAGCTAAACAATTTCATTCCTTTTTTTTCAAGGAGCTAAATTTAGCTGCACTGTAAATCTGCTTTGTACTTCATTAAATTTCTGTTCTTACCTCTATTATTTCCTTTTTAATTCTTTGGGTTTCATTTGTTTTTTTTTTTCTACCACGATGAAACAGAGAGAAGAATCGTGGAATTTAACCTTTTTTGTCTGACATATACATCTAGAGCTATGACCCCTCATCATTACTACCCTATTCAATGGCCGGGGAACACTGAGGGCATAAAGAACTGAGAAAACCCCCATGAAAAGCCGGATCTTGTCTCCTTTCCTTAGCACTAGGCTTATTCCTACCTCATCACAGTGGGGAAAAAAAATAATTTCCAAACCGCAAGGGCTACCATATATTTCTTTAGGATTTTATTTATTTATCTTTGGAGGGGAGGGGAAGGGAAGGAGAGAAGGAGAGAAATATCAATGTTTGGTTGCTTCTCATGAGTCCCCTGCTGGGAACTGGCCTGCAACCCAGGCATGTGCCCTGACTGGGAATCGAACCGCGATACTCTGGTTCACAGGCCCTCGTTCAATCCACTGAGCCAGATTTTTTAACAGATCTTTTTATCCTCTCCCTTCTACTACAAGAAATCTCAAAGTTAGATTATGATTCTGCTGAGGACAACAGCCATGGCTGGTCTGCTCACCACTGAGTGCCCACGCGCAGGAAAGAATCTGCCCTTGTGGAAAGGGCAGGTCTGGCTTTTGCCCTTGGCTTCTGGAAAGCACTCTGTTGACCCTCAGCAGGCCAGTCTTGCCCCAGCCTCAAGTACTGCGAAGACACAGTGCTTGCGAGACGGCAGTCCTCTCACTCACCTGCAGAGCCGAGTTCATGAAGCAGGTGTTCCCCAGGTTTCCAAGGCCACAGACCCCAGGTTGTGCGTGAGAGGACGGAGGCTCCTGACAATTATATGAAGCAGAGAAGCCAGATCCACTGGAAAACACAACCCACATCACCAATAAAAGCAAGTGCTGCACACATGCCCCAAGGAGGCCTTTGGGGTGGCTCCAGGGCCTCCAGAATTCCTGTCTGGTGCTAGCTCCACGATACCAGTGCTCTCTACTCCCTCTGCAGCCCCCGCCACCCCCACCCTGCCCTTGACCCAACATGGTGGCAGGTGGGCAGCACGTCCGCGAGGGGAGAAGTGCTATGGGAATGCTCCACTTTCAGGCACATGCTGATTTTCTATTTCCCCAGAAGGCCAACTGCCAGGCGACGTTGGGGGAGAACGCCGAGGTTACCGAGATGAAGAGCCTACAACTGCCACCACGTTCAGACCACACCGAGTCTTGACTACGCCTGAGTGTCCTCTTCCAACCTCTCTGTGCTGTGTGGCCAGTGCTCTGGAAGCGCCGAAGGCAGGCTCACAGCCATCCACAGGGGAACAGGCAGGGCTCCCCCACAGTGAATCACCCCTCACAACTATGCCACCATACGGCCACCCCATCTCTGCACGGTGACCCCTGCAACCACCAGCGACTTGGGCTGTGGGGAACCACCAGCTGGTAGGACAAGTACTCCAAGCCAGTACAAGGAGGCACACTTCACTGTGGGCAGGAAAAGGAGTGAGAAGCCACATGCAGCGCGTTCCCACGGGGACCCTCCGCCCACCTGCTCAGTGCAGGGCAGAGGCGGGGCTCAGAGGGCAGGGAAGCGCAGTGGAAGGGCCTCTCTTACCCCCTGCTGCCACCGGAGCTGTGCATCCCGGAGGTGCTGCTGCCGCCACCGTTTGCAATGGGAGAGGCAGACGCTGAGCAATAGGGACTTGCTGACGGTTTTGGAGAGGTAGTGAAATTTCTGCTAGGCACAGTGCTTGATCTGGGGGGAGCAGAAACAAGGCTGCTGACTTTCAGCCAAAAGCAACCCCTATGTAATGCCTTAGGTCTCTTCTCAAGAAATAAATGCTCTCCATTTTCAGTGACTCAAACTGGAAAAAGCCTATTTTTGTGCTGCCTTCAAGATAAGTTTTATTTAAGGGAGAGTCAAAAATATTAATTGGTCTTCCTGTCTCAGTCAACCTCACAGTCACATGACGAGTCTTTTAGTAGCATAAACCGTGAGACTGACCTTCAGGGCCCCCGATCTGGTACATAAATCATGAGCTTCCCTGAGTTTTAAGAATTACCAATGAAAGACACAGAAAAATGGCAACAAAGATTAATTACTCCAAAAACACTTGTCCCAAATTAAACAACTGGTTACAAGCACACTAGCGCAGGAAAACGGGAATTTGCTTCACCAAGCTGTTCAAGGGGAATTTCCTTGTTTCCTCAAATTCACCAAATACAAGGAGCCTCTCTATTTCAAACTCAAGTTTCAACATCTTATTTTAGGTTTATTCCTACTTTCAGAGCAATTACTCAGGGAGTAACTGCCCCCACCTTACACTGCTATCAATTTTGTACTAAAATCCACATGTGACTATGTAGAAGGAAGGTGAACTGTTCTGCGCTGTTTCAAATGCACGTGACTGTGACTCTCCTTCTAGGTTGGGGGTTATTTTCGGATGCGGACACGGATGAGGACGTGCTGTTATAGCACAACGCCCGGCCTCCAGGGTTGGGTGTCACCCGGGTCTCCTGTGGGGACACGCCCGGTGGCGGCAGGCGAGGAGTGGTCCTGTCTGTGCCACGCCAGCAGTGGGCAGCGGGGCTGAGTGCCGCTCCCCGCTCCAAGGTCACTGCGAGGTGGGCGCCCAGGCCTCCCCCATTCCCACAGGGAAACGTCCCTTCTCTAACCCGAGGACCACGTGCCTTGCAGAGCCTCACCCTGGTGCTGGGGAATGCCACCCAGCACTCCAGGAATCCGACCACTCTCAAGGGAGTCCAACAACTCAGATGGCTCAGTAAGTGAGACCTGTCAGAGCCAAGGTCGCCCTCTGCCACCACACAGGTGACGCAAGCACACACAGTGCAGGTATCCCCAGTCTCTGATGCCAGCAGGAAAGTCACTCACTACCCAGGGCTGGTCTGACGTGGCGGCCTGTTATCTCAGCTGTGGAAACAGGCACCACGGGACAGTGGAATTCAAACTCTGACGTACAGAGCATCCAGGTGTGTGGTCCTACATTCCTCCTTTTTAGTAACTGTTCACTGATAACTTATTCTGTTCCACTGAATTTAAAAGGGCAAAGTTCCTTTTTTTTAAAGGTTTTATTTATTTATGTCTAGAGAGAGGGGAAGGGAAGGAAAAAGGGAGAGAAACATCAATGTGTGGTTGCCTCTCACACCGTCCCAACTGGGAACCCAGCCTGCAACCCAGGCATGTGCCCTGACTGGGAATCAAACTGGCAACCCTTTGGTTTGCAGGCCGGCATTCAGTCCATTGAGTTACCCCAGCCGGGGCGAGGGCAAAATTCTTGTAAGCCATTTCACACATCTAAGACCTGTCAATTTCTTTGGCAACATTTCTGGTAGAAATGAAACAAAACAAAAATTTAATCTGACATTTGTTTAAAAAGTTGTAGAAAACACTGTCAGTACTTTCCAGAGTAAATTCAGTCAAAAAGAAACCCAGTGATGAGTACATAAGGGCAGTTTTTGTAGGCCTGGAAATTTACACGATACAAAGGTTTCTTTAACTCCCCCCTTGACAAACCAACAGAAAATAGAGGCTACAACTCCAAAACAGGATGCTCCGCTCCTAAAAGACGCTCTGGTCACCCAGCCCCTTTCTACTGAGGTGTGTCCCGCTCCTAGGCACACTGAGTAGGAGCGGGTCTCAGCTCCATTCCCAAAGTGCCCGGGGCTCCTTTGCGCTCCGCTTGCTTCTCATGTGTTCTCCAGGCTACATGCTGCCCCGAGGCCCAGCCTCTAGTAGCCCAAGGCCAGCATCTGGCATCATCACTGCCTTCACCACCACCTAAGCCAGAACCTTTGCACACCACCGCCACAACGCACTCATCTGTGTGTGTGCACGTCCCCGCTTTGGGGACACTGGCCTTTTCCACCTGAGCTGGCAGTCTTTCAAAGGGGACTGTGGTGCAAGCTAAGCAGGCCCGAGACTTCATGCAAGGGCAGTAAGAGCACGTCAGAACTGAACCCAGTTTTAGACACCCAGCTGGTGTCACAGTTGGTCAGTGTGGGGGGGAACCCCGCATCTCGGTGGCCAGAAGTTTTGGTAGAGGAGGGGTGCTGGTTTTTTTCTGTCACTTCTTCCTTCTCACATTCTTCCTTTCTCACGAACCCCAATATTTAACCAGACACCTTGCCACCCTGCTAAAAGGCACTTCCCAGCCTCTTGTGAAGCCAGGTATGGTCCTATAATTGTCAGATAGATGGAAAGGGAGGTTTTACACGCGATTTCTCAAGGGAAGAGGTGTGTCCTGTCTCTGCCTCCTCGAATGTGGCGATAATGCCTTCAGTACCAGCGGTCACTCTGGACCCTCATCACAAAGCTAGACAACAGGGTGGCTGGGTCTCTAATGACCAGCACTGGACTGCCCACCTCATAAATTCTCTTTAGAAAGGCGTAAGCATCTGTCTTGCTTGACTATGTTGACTTCCAGGTCTTTCTTAATTGCCACCACACCTTTCCTAATCAACACAGTGCGTTTCAAAGACATAAATGTTACTTTTATATTTCTGGTACTTACTCCATTAACTTGTTAGATCTATCACTATTTTTATTTCTCCCATCGATTATTTAAACTTGTAACTCTCTACATTTCTCTCATGAGAAGTAGTTTAGAACATTCTCATCTGACTTCTATCTCCTGGGTCTTCCACATTGTGATTAAACATCTGAATTGTTATTGAAATTGGTTATTTTCTTAAACCTTTCTTCTTTCTGTTATTGAACTTTTAATTGAAGTATTATGCTAAGAAATACGTAAATCGTGAGAGCACAAAAATCAAGACACTCTCACTGGTGAAGACACCTAAGTTCTCACCCAAAGACACAGGACGGCACCAGCCGCAGGTGACCTCCTCTCGTTCCTCTCAGTCACGATTCCTCCCAGCGCTACCACTGCCCTGACTGTGAGCCCCACACAAGTTTCGCCGGTTCTTCTGAAGCTTTACACTGAGGGGATCGCACGGCATGCCATGCTTTGTGTCTGGTTTCTGTCACTCGACACAGTTTGTGAGACTCGACACTGTGGCCACATGGAATGCTACGGGGCGCACGGAGCACAGCCCGGCTGCCCGCTCTGCTTTGGGTGGATGTCTGGGTCGGCTCCGCTCTGTGACTATGACAAGCAGTTCACGCCATGAACACTTCTGAACACGTCTGTAAGTGAACACGGGACGCACTTCGGTGGTCTGAATGCCGAGAAGTGGCTCGCAGAGTTGCAAAAACACGTACAAGTCCTCGCTTAGTGCACACTGCCGAAGTCGCGGAAGCCACCGTCGCCCCACCCGCGGCGGCCAGCAGCTCTGGCGGCTCCGTGCCTGCACAGCACTGGTGCGGCTCTTTCATCTAGCCATCCTGGTGGGCGTGCAGGGCACCGCCTTTTCTGCTACCGCCCACCCTTCTCCCTCCGCAGTGTGTTCTAGAACTCTTCAGCCTGGCCCTCCAACTGGAGGACTCGATGCCGGAGGATCGTAGCTGGACTCGATGTCCAGCTACGCCCGGCCTGTCATCCCCTTCCCGAGTATGTCTCCTTGTCCTGTTTTATGCACCCATCTCTTCCTTTCCTTGATGATATTCTCTATGCTTATTCCATCCTCTCATGTGGCTAGGAATACGAATTCTACTCCTACCAGCACAGGCTGTCATTTGCCACTTTCTTTCAAGTGCAACTGTACTTGTCAGTGTCTCGTTACCATGGAGCTGCTGACCAGGTGAGGTCAGGTCACTCCTGAACCCCCCGCACCCACCCCCACAAGCTCCCTACCTCACCCAGAGGCAACGCTGCCATCCACATTCTCACTCGGACACTGCCGCCCACCTCATCACCTCTCAGCCCTGGTCACCCTCCCCTCCTGTCACCCTTCCTTGCTCCAGCCTCGACCAACTCCTGCTGGTCTTCAACCAGGCTTGCTTCTGTCTCGAAAATGCTGTGGCTGCTGTCCCCTCTGCCTTGGTGTTACCTCATCAAGCACCACACTCACTGCTGACACCCTCACCTCTTTCACGCCCACACTCACACGGCACACCCGCCGGGCCTCCCCATCTTCCTTAAACCTGCCCCTTCCCAAAGCCTGGCACCTGCCGATTTTCTTCCCAGACTTGTTCCCCCCTCAGTATTTGTAAACCACAGAACGTGTGTTTTTCCTTATTTTATCTATTTTTTGCTCCTTGAGAACAGAGACTTTGTCTTGTTTACTGCTACTCCCCCAGCTTCCAGAACAGTGTCTGGCACTTGTAGGGGAGTGGGGAGGGGAATGGGCCTCAGGAATTCCGTGCTGGTTCGTTCAACACTGGACACGCGTCACCAGGAGATGCTGACCTCTAGGGATCTCAGTGAGGCTTCCTCTTTTCCAAGAGCTGCCTCCCTTTCCGGGATCTCTGAGGCCCCAGGTGTGGGTGGGATGGAGAGAAGCAACGCTGGGAAGAGAAAAGGGCACGGCCAAGGCTCAACTAAACAGTCTGGGGCAGCACAGCCTCTTCCGCTCCAAGCTGTCGCACCCCCTCGGACTAGACCCCGACACCTTCGGTCTCTCCAGGGGCCCCCACAGTTCTTCTGCCCCCACAGTTCTTCTAACACTTCCTTTCGGTTCCGAGAAGAGAGTCAGCAGCCTGGGCTTGTGTATTTGTTTCCTATTGCCAGTGTCACAAATCTCTGAAAGCTCAGCAACTTGAAATGACAAAAATTTGTCATCCTACAGTTTTGGAGGTCAGAAGTCTGAAATCATTCCCGCTGAGCTAAAATCAAGGTGTGGGCAGGGCCGTGTTTCTCTATGGAGGTTCTAGGAACTTCTAGAAGCTTCCCACATCCCCGGCCAACGGAGCCTCGCTCTCATTTCATCACCGTGACTCTGCTTCCATCTCCCCATCTCCTTCTCTGTCGTAACTCCAGTTTGAAATTTTTATTTTCCCATTACTGCTGACATCCAATGTGATGTCCCGCTCCTTTCACTTACATGGACCCTTGTGATTACAACAGGCCCACCCAGACAATCCAGGACGGTCTCCCCATCTCAAGGTCCTTAATTGTATCTGCAAAGTCCCTCTGCCACGTAACCTAATGTTTCCATAGCTTCTGGGCATTAGGATGTGGGCACTGAGGGTGGGGGAGCGTTACAAAGTCTTTGTCACCTTTTCAGTATCTAGTTCTTAAACTGGAGTCCGTGGCTTCGGGGTGCCTGTAAAACCCTCAAGTCTGTTGGCAAAATGTGTCTGCTTGCATGTTTAAGAGACAGCTTGTAGTTTTCGTGATTCTCAAAGGAGCCACGAGCCCACACCTATGAAAGAGCCACTGTCCAAGGCCTGACTGAGGGAGAAGGCAAAGCCCAGCCCTGTCTCCATAACGATGGGCGCACAGACACTACTCCCCCACCTCACATCAGGAAGGCCATCACTTCTTTCTGGCCCCTTCTCAGGACATGCACAATTCCACACCGCGCACGACCATCTCCTGAGACAGAGGTTCCTGGAGCCCCCTGGACAGAAATGAAGCCACCTGTTGGCAGAGCTGCACCGCCAGACCTTGGCCCTTTCCTTCCCTTCTCTCCTTCTCCTGACAAGGCTCCCGCCTGGGTCACACGCCCCAGCAGCCTTCCCACGGACAGCTGCCCCGGTGTTGCTCACCAAAGACCAGGCCTTCTGCTGGGATTACTGACCCTGGGTACGGAATCAGATATATTTTTCCACCCGATTAAGAGCATTTTTTTCTTAGCATAAGTAACTGCCTTAGGAAAGTATCTGTCTGACACCTGTGCCCAGCCACGGGGAGAAGAAGCTCACTTACTTTGACTGCAGGGTCTGCCTCGGCCATGTGCCATCTTCATTTTGAGGCTCAATCACTAGCACCTGAGTGGAAAGGAACACCACGTGAGGGACGTGTGACTCACCTCACTGCTGACGTGCCACTCGCCCGGGCGGCGCTGCCGGCCGAGGCGTGCCCGAGCCCTCCTACCTGACCCTGGTACAGCCCCGCATCCTGGACAGTGTTGTCTAGCTTGCTCAGCTGCTCGTAGGAATTGTTCATGTACTTGTTCCACAGCCGCGTTTCACGCTCCGCAGGGATGTTGAAGAGCTTCCGCATCTTCTTCTCGATGGTCGCTGGGGACAGGCAGAAACGTCACTCAGGGCCTCTCTGGAGGGAAGGCTATAGGTAGTCCTGGCGAGCGAATGCTCCCATCCTGCCTTTTCGGATGGTCACAGAATTCTCTGGATCGGGAGTGCTGACCGACCTCAGGCCAAGCATCTTCCAGGGATGCCCTCTGGCACTAACGCACCGGGAAACTGCCCTATGCTTCTCCTTCTCTGATGACATGGGTCCCGTTGTCACAGTACAAAGTGGCAAAGTGAGAAAACTAATGTTTCCAGTTAAGACAGACCTGGTTTCAAATACTGGCTCTGCCACTTTCTCACTGAGATTTTTTAGTCAAGTTACTTTAAGCTCCAAATCGCATTTCTACCCTGTGACAGATGGGCAGTGACCACGCCTGGTGCACTTTAGAACACCATTCACGGGCTTGGCTCACCATCAGGACGCCCTGGGGCACAGGTGACACAGCCCGAGACGGGCTGGTAACAAGTCTGCAGAGGGCGTCCCAGCTTCCCTCCCATCAGCCACGATGTGTTGCGCCCTCTCAACCGGATACCTGGAGGCCCAGCCCAGCTACTCACCGATGGTATCCGCCTTGCTGAAATGGCAACTCAGCACATTGGTGGGATCGCTGTTCTCACAGAGCTTCAGTTCCAGTAAATACACCTCCACCTTGCAGTGCTTGACGAACAGGCCGTGCTCCACAACCTGCGGAAGAGGCACAGGAAGGGGAGCTGCGGTTCCACGCCTGTGCCGTCTCGGAAGCAACGTGGCTCGGCAGTGGCAAAAGGCAGAATCCACGGGTAATCACCTTTCTTAAGTGATTAAGGGATCAAAAGTACAGTTTTTAAAGCCACCGGCATCTGTCTGAGGATTTTAAACACCTCATTTCCACTCATCAGAGCCAACCAAGAGCACCGAGGTGGAACCAGAGCTGACGGCACCGCCACACAACAGAGGATTCCTTGTCTGTCTCCGAGAGGGTCATGGGATTTCCCGCACATCACGGAGTCCATCAACCTGGAGGACTAGAGACCACGGGTGAGCCCTTGGGAGGGACACTCACCACATGGCAGCCCTTGGGCACCAGGGGGCATCCGCAGGAAGCCGGTGTGCTGCTGAACTCTTGATCCCTAACCCCTTTTCGGGTCCCAGGTTCAAGCTGAAGAAAAATAAGGTGGTTCTGGCCCTGAATAGTGACTCCTAGCAGCACGGCTTCAGGACTACAGCTCCCTCCTACTCTGCTAAGTTGGGGAACAACAGACCAGGCGGAGAGGTGCACGTGCTGCCCACCCATCGGCAGGCACGCAGGCCCCTGTGACCTCCCCTCTGGGAGGGTGGGCTTACTGTGGGGGTCAGGGCAGTGGTCTTCTGAGTCCTGTCCACAAGGAATTAACAATCTGGCTTTCTAAGAGGTGTTCCCCTCTGGGTTATAAACTGCTTTTTGAGAAACTCTACGGTGTGGCCAAAGACTTGAAGATACAGGGGAAAAGCAGCATCAGCAGGGCTGTGAGACAGACGAGAAGCAGTACATTACTGTATGTCCACAGGACCCTGAGCGAACGCCCTCTCACACGCAGAGGGCTCTCATGGCACCGCCAAACACATCCCCAGCCACTGGGTGGCGCTGATGTTTGGAGGCCACTCGCTGTAACATCCTCGGGGAGCAGCCTCACTCACCACCACTCACAACCACAGCTCCCAATGGAGAACCAGAAAAAAGGTCTCAAATACGTCCATGCAACCATGTAGGTACGTACAGCTCCCCGTGTGGCCAGGGAGCAGCCACAGACGGCGACCAGCAGGTGTGACGGCGCGCACTCACCTTCCTGACGATGGGCTGCTGGCCTTCCACACAGCCGTACCAGTTCAGCAGCTTGTTCCAGGCCTCGGCTGGGACCAGTACGTAGTCCAACTCATCAATTAAGTGTTCTTTCAAGGTCTGACTCTCGGGATCTAAAAAAGGAAACAGCTTATAACTCACTGCTCCTCTCCCAGGAAATGTTTGTTTTACATATTTCTTATGTCTTCTTCAGAAAATTATTTATTTATAAGAATGGCACAAAATTACAGAATTCTGTCATTGGCTGTCACAGAGTAGGCCCGACTGCCTTGGTCTCTAGCCACACTTTCTGAACGTTTTCTGAGGAACTTGGAGAGTAAGAGAGAAAAGCTCCAATTAACATTTTCAAAGTACTTCCAGATTCCACAATTAAAATGGCTCATTACTATAAATATTTAACATAATGTTCTGCATAGTAAAACTACATTAAGGTCAGATGCTGGCTTCCCCTGAAAAAATTTACTAAGGAAGCAAACAAGCAAGTCACTGAGGTTAAGTTTATTTCACCAAGAGTCATTTAGCATACGTAGTTTTCAACGCTCCAAGTCAAAACTCGGCTGGACACGGCCCCCATCCCAGGAGGGAGGACATCTTTAACGTGCTAAGCATCCACCTGACACCCACCAGAGAGGCTACACGACCAGGAGTCGGAAGCGGACATCCACGGTCTGAAACGTACTCCCTCCAGGGAGGATGCAGGGCCTGGACAGAGCGAAGACCGCCCCCGCCCGCAGGGAGCTTCCCCACTAAGCCCACGCTGTCCAGCCCACTCCTGCAGTAGTGCCGACCACTGCTCTCCAGCCAGCAAGTGAAGCCATGAAACTGGGAAACACAAAGGACCCACAATAGGGCTCCTCATCTGTGACTTAAGGCAGACGGTGTTAAAGATGAAAACCTTAAGCAGCATTCACAAGTTCACCAAGGGACCCCATCGCCCTGTCCCGATAGGTCTTCCGCCCTGTGTCAGGGCAAATTTCAGATCCGATCGACCTCTGCAGTTTCATTTCCAGGGTAAAAGGAAAGGGATTAAAGAGCCTCTGAGAACAGGAAGTTGTGTTGAGTGAGATGGGTGAGTGGAAAGATGTGGGACATGCACACTGTGAAGTATTCTTCAGCCTTTAAAGTGCAGGTGGCAAACACAAGGCCCACAGGCCGACCCTCCACCTCGTTTTATACAGCCCAGCACCTTGTTCCTACCCAGCAGCCGCACCAAGCTCTCGCTTACCAGTTAAGGAGCAGTTACATGTACACAGTCCTAAAGTGACATTCGGCCCTTTGAAGGCAACCACGAGGCTGATGTGGCCCCCGGTGAAAATGAGTTTGACACCCCTGCTTTAAAGGAAGTCAATTCCAACACACGCTACAACACAGATGAACCCAGAGGACATCATGCTAAACGAAATAGGCCAGTCACAGTAAGACAAATACAGTACAATCCCACTTTCACAAGTTAACTAGAGAAGTCAGATTCAGAGACAGAAAGTGCAATGGTGGCTGCCAGGGGCTGGGGGAGTGCAGACAGGGCCTTAATGTTTAATAGTTGCAGTTTCAGTGTCGCATGATGAAACAGTCTGGGGACTGCCTGCATGGCAATGAGAATACTACTAAACTGTACACTTCAAAAAAAATGATTAAGATGGCCCTGCTGGCATGGCTCAGTGGGTTGAGCATCTTCCCAGAAAAGCAAAGTTGCCAGTTTGATTCGCAATATGCCAAGGTTGTGGGTTCAATCCTGGTCAAGGCACATACATTCACCAAAGAATGCATAAACAAGTAGAACAAAAAATCGATCTCTCTCTCTCTTTTTCCCAAGGAAAAAAAAATTAAACTGGATCAGCACCATGCTAAAAATCACACAGGGGTCTGAAATGAAAATTTAGCCTCTGCAAATGTCTTTGACACAGAGGTAAATAAAGAAGGTGAGAGCACAGGCTGGTCTAAGCAGGTGCCCGCCTGATGAACAGCAGGAGCACAGGTGGAAATGAGAGAGGGGTGCTGTGTAGATAACACCAGCAAAAATATGCTTACCCCCAACCTCCCAAACTTTCATGAGTCCCTTCCAGACCACACCCATGACTCTAGGTGGAAGGCAGCCACTCTGGGACTGGCAAGTGACTGAGAGCCTAGGAATGAAGGAGGTGATCCTCGTTCGCCAGAGAAAAGTCATTCCCGCACTATCGATGTTCCAGGGTTTGAATGGAATGTACTTCTCTGAAGCACACAGCAAATGTTTCAGGCCAAAGCTAGGTGACATCAAACTGGGAGACCACGGAGGGAATGCTTGCCCTTAGCTGAAGGTCATGAACATGACGTCCCTGAGCCCCTCCAGCTCTAGAATGCTCATCATTGTTACTATTTTTAAAAGCCTTAAGAATTCTTTGAAAAAGAGAGAAAAGGACAAAATGCAAACATTTTGTGACGATCCCTCAAGGCAACTTCATGGTATAAGCAAAGCATATGACATTGTTATGTAACTCAGATGCCCTAAACAAGGTCTGAGCTGAAGCAGTGGTCCTTTTTAAAGGCACCCAGGTTAATGTCAGGCACTTGGATCGAGCCTCATGCGTCATCTGCCTTCCTGCTGCCCTGATTTTGGGCACAGGAGACAAATCACCTCTGTCCTGCTTGCAAGAGAGTCTAAAGGCAGGCAGAACAAAGCCAAGGAAAGGCTGACTGTCCTCTCCGTGAGTATAGTGGTGCGAGCTAAGCTCCAGCATGTCATCCATCACTTTTTCAAACACTTTTTCACTCCTTCCACTGGGAGCTGACTATGAACTTGACTCTACCGATGCTCCACCCTCCTCATGCAACCTCTATGACGAACACAGCCATCAAAGAAATACTGATGAATGCTGACGAGTCAACAATGTGTCTACTGTAAGGTCTGGTCCCCAAATTTCAGATTCCAGGTACAATTTCAAAATGACATCCTATTTCTTTCCATTCCATATAGTAAGCTAAAACTCCCAACAGAACTAGTCTGCAAGGAAAGGGAGAAATTTTAAATACTAGATGCATGTTCTTGTAAGAAGCAGTTAACTTAGGGTCTGCAAAGACCTCCCCCATAGGCACAAACAGAGGACCCTTGTTTCTTTCCCCTCACAGGAGGAAAGTCAGGTTTACACTGTTTGAGTCACATACAAACACAACCTCAGACCTCTGCCCAGGTGAACATTCAGTTGGAGAAGCGACAGGATACTGCACCTGAGAAGAGTCCGGAGTTATCTATCGGACCAGGAAACAGGTTGTGCTCACCCACGTTGTACATATCCCAGCTGTCGAAGCCCACATACTTCTTCCACTGTTTGAACCACCGGCTGTCAATAAGATACCTAGAGACAGACACAAAGTTACTGTAGCAGACGAACTGAGGTTGTAAAGTTTCTGCAGCTATTCCCTTGATTTTTTTTTATAGTCTTTCAACTTGGGGAGCAAGCAATCCCCACTGAAAAAAAACTCTGAAATAGGAGCAGAGCCAGGCCCCACATGGCACAGAGGGTCAAGGATACTTCCCAAAGTATCCAGTAAGTGAAATAATTGCTGAAGGATAAATAAATGAAAAGAAGGAAATGACTGGCTTCAAAATGCTTATTTAAAGGAACTGTTTAGCCCTGGCTGGTGTGGCTCAGTGGACTGAGTGCTGGCTTGTGAACCAAGGGGTTACTGGTTTAATTTCCAGTCAGGACACATGCCTGGGTTGTGGGCCAGGTCCCCAGTAGGAAGTGCACAAGAGGCAACCACACATTGATGTTTCTCTCCCTTTCTCCTCCCCTTTCCCTCTCTCTAAAAATAAATAAATATTTTTTAAAAAGGAAATATTTGTATGGCTAAAATCTTGTTTGCTAATAACCAAATCACTAATTTCATCCTTGCCCAGGTAGGCAATTTGGTTACACTGCTTTGCTCGACATGAATAGCATTAAACTAATTTTTTTCTGAAAGTGGAATAATAACACACTTCAGAAGTCCTTTAAAGACCAAACAAGATATATAAAAAAAAAAAAAAAGTTGTAAGCCAGAGCATCACGGTTTGATTCCCAGTCAGGGCACATGCCTGGGTTGCAGGCCAGTTCCCAGCAGGGGATGCACAAAAGGCAACCACACATTAATGTTTCTCTCCCTCTCTCCTTCCCCTCTAAAGATAAATAAATAAATAAATAAAATCTTAAAAAAAAAAAAAAAGTGGCCCTGGGCAAGTAGCTCCATTGGTTACAGCGTCATAACCATACACCAAGGTTGAGGGTTCAATCCCCAGTCAGGGCACATATAAGAATATAAGAATCAACCAATGAAGTCATAAATAAGTGGAACAAGAGATCAATTATTTCTCTCTCACTCTCTTAAATCAAGAAATGAAAATGTTTTTAAAATGTGTGTGTACATGTATGTGTGTATATATATACACACACACACACACACAGACATATACTGGGTCTGTCTGGAAAAGATCCAGCTATTAATATAATCAGAACAGTTTGCACATCAACATAACTTGGCAGCCAAAGAAAGTGGACTGGAATGCACATGCGTGAACAATGACAACTTTACTATACTAGTCAGTATGGGAGTAGATGCCATTGAGTGAACATGTGTACTGTGTGGCCATTGCATTCAAAATGACTGAGTAGAGAGCAACGAATCGGAGTCAAATTTTGCGTTAAGCCTGAACATCCCTCTGTGGGAATCTAACTGGATGATTCAGAGGCCACAGCTGTGGGCAACTGGTGATTGGCAGCCTTATCATGACAACGTGCCTGCTCACGTATCACATCTCAAGCAGACTTTTTTGGCAAAACATCCGATTACCTAGGTGACTCAGCCCCCCTACAGCCCAGATTAGGCGCCCTGTGACTTCCGGCTTTTCCCAAAACTAAAATCACCTTTGAAAGGGGAGAGATTTCGGACCATCAGTGAGATTCAGGAAAATACGACTGGGCAGCTGACTGCGACTGGGAGAACTGTGTGAGGGCCCAGGGGGCCTACTCTGAAGGGGGCTAATGTATCACTGTCCTGTGTACAATGTTTCTTGTCTCTTGTATCTTCTTCAGTAAATGTCTCTAGTTTCCATATTACAACACTGGATACCTTCTGGACAAACCTCATATATAATAGTGTCTACATATATTTTTCTTGCCAAAAACCAAGTCAATCTGGTTATATTTTAAAACTATTACAAAAAACAACAAAACCACAGCCCTAGCTGGTGTAGCTCAGTAGACTGAGAGCCAGCCTGTGAACTGGGAGGTTGCTAGTTAGATTCCTGGTCAGGGCACATGCCTGAATTGCAGGCCAGGTCCCCAGTTGGGGACATGCAAAAGGCAGCCAAATGACGTTTCTCTTGCACAGTGATGTTTTCCTCTTTCTCCCTCCATTCCCCTCTCTCTAAAATAAAAATCTTTAAAAAATAAAATCTTTTTCATAAAACTATAAAAGTATCTTTACGCTGTTTTTCAATTAAGACAAAGGAGGAAATCTCTGTGGGGAAACAAAGTACAACAATTATATGGTGAGTCCTTCAAATTTTATAACCAACAAACCTCAGAGATCAGGCAGCTTTCTAGAGACCACAAGGATACGTAAAAATACATTCAAATCTTTAAAATGCTCTTTTCCCTCCAAACCCTTGTAGTATGTGACTTTAGTCTCTCTCAAACTTCCTATGCTTCTGCTGGGCATTCTTCATGTATCCCCCTATGCAGAATAACTTCCAGAAGCGCCTCTGCTTGCTCTGCCGTCCACAGGTGGCTGGTTCCAGAACACTAAAGCAGTGTGTCAGTTCCCCCTAACCCGAGTCTCTCTTCCCTACTCAATTCCCTCCTCACTGTAAGAGGCATTATCAACACCACCATGGTTTTGAAAGAGGGGTGCTCAATAACATTCGAGGCAAAGCCAAGCCCCACTCTTCTACTCCCACACGATAATATCACCCAGGAATCTCTTTTAATGGAAATACTGTTCCTTCTACTAAACAATTTAGTAAGAAAACTCTTGCCTCAGATTTGCTCTTCTAAAGGCCAGGCTTATCTTTTCATCTAGGCTCTGCAATGCTGCTGCCGCCACAATTATTTTTGACATTTGCTACTAAAATGACCTGGGGCTCGCAGACATGTATTTGTTCAGCTTGACCTTGACATCTGTTCTGCAGTTTACAAGTTACAAAATACCTACTTCTGAGCTTCGCCTCTACCCACTGAGGCAGGGGTGAGGGAGGGCTTTTAATAGGAAGGACCCCGGTCTGTGATGTGTGGACACCTTCGCCCAAGGTCACTCAGCGAGTCCTCGAAGGTAAAGGACTCTTCCCATCCTCAAAGTCCGTGTGAGCACTCCCCCTTTACTCCATCCAGCAGCCCTTTCGTCCGCTGGGTCCGCACCCTGGGGCTCGGAAAGAGCCGAGACGACCCTAGACTCCGCCCACACTGCCCCAAAATAATCTCAGGGTCCCGCTCCTGAGGGGCCGGGGTCAGGCCACTCTTCTCAGGGTCACTAACATCGCCTCCGCCGGGCCCCAACTCAAGCCGAGGAGGGTCCTAGCCTGAGCGCCAGAGCCCCGGCCCCTGACCCTGCGCGGCGGAAAAGAGGACCCGGTGCTCACCACTGAGCCCCTCGCTGGAGCGTGGTCCTCATCAAGGCCCTAAGTTCGGATTTCTGGGTCTCCGCATCGGGTCGCTCACCGCAGCCTCCGCCTTCCGCCATCTCGTCCGCGGCCCCGGCCCAGCCGACCCGGACATCCGCCTGGCGCACAGCGTGCTGGGGACCGCGCCCACTTACGCACGCGAGCGCGCGCGCGCGCGCGCGACCGCCCAAGCCCCACCTGGCGCCGCGGTCTCGAGCGCCCGCCCGCCTCCGCCCTCTCTCCGCCCCACGCACCGCCCTCACCCGCGAGTGCGCGGTGGAGGGGGTGGGGGCCGGAAGAGGAGGCGGGCCCCCGGGAAGGTGCGGCCGCTTCCTCCCACCCTGTAGTCCCCTCCGGAGGGTGTGGGTCGCTCCCTTTTCTCTCCAGCTCCGCTATCTCCAGAAAACACACTGCAGGTCCCACGACTCCTCAGTTGGAGGAGTTCATTGAGAGGACCCGATGGCCAGTCGCCCCGCGAGTTGGACCCGTGCATCCCCTGATCCGCGGAGCTTGTGTCCGCTTGCCCTTGTGTGCTATATATAAGTGCCCAAGAACACAGTTTTGAGATAGTGGTACCGTGCTGAAACCTTCTGGACGGTATTCGTGACTTAGTTAAAGCCTCTGTATAAACTTTAAGATTCTGGTGGTCAGGTAGATAAGCTTTTTTCGGCTCCCCAAGACAGGCTCTCTGTAAATCCTCTGCCACCTACCAATCTGGAGTGGCCAGCTGCAAAGACCTCTCAGGGTCCTCCATACTAGGGGCCGCTTCAGATTACACTGCGAGCTCCACAAGCCCCCCACACTAAGCTACTTGCCTGTGTCAGAGGGTCAGCAGCCACAGTGGGGTGATAGCAACGGGGGAAGATTGGGGACGTCCAGGTGTGTGTTCCACCTTCACTGCCCACGCTTCTTCATTTGCTGCAACAAGTAGAGCGTCCTGAACACTTTGTTTTCTGCTCGACCCTGCACACAGAAACAGCCCCCTTCTCTTGGAGGGGGATGTAAACCCAGAGCAAGGCGGAGGCCAGACGGTTGGCCGACCTGACTCCTCTATTCACTTGTCTAGCAGTTCCTGTCTTCAGAGAAGAATGAGATAAATAAGACCCAGTACCTGCCCTTATACAATCTAACAGCAGAGGAGAGATCTACAAATACTTCCAGTTGGCAAGCAGTGTGTGGTAAGTGTCTTTAAAAGGAGTGAACCAAAGACCGTAGACCCAGAGCTATGAAAGGGAGCTTTTGACTTGAGTAGCAGCATTTCAGTGTGGTCTTGAAGAAAGCCTAGAAACAATGGTGCCCATTACAGGAGGGAATCAGCATTTCTGGAGTAAACTGTGGGAGTCAAGAATGAGGAATAAGCCCATTGAAGGGGGCACAGGCTATTGAAAGAGTCCGCGATCTACAACTTTCTAAATCTACAACTTTCTAGATCTACGTGTCCTGCCTTAAATGGCCACAGGTACTGGGGTAGGTTTTGGAGTCTAAAAAGAAATGGCCGAAGGCACTTTACAGCCAGTGTGGTGCAGCCCAGAGGCTCACGAGGAACCATTCCCTGCAGAGGTGGGCACAAGGGAGGAGAGGGAAGGATGAGCTGTGTTCGGTGTCAGAGGTAGAGAAGGGAGAGCTGGCCTGGGGAAGGTGTGTTGGTCATTTAAACAGATTTACTATTTTTATGTTGGGTTATGGCTACTTGCAATTAATTTCTACTCCTCGGGACATCCATTATGCACCGTCTGGTAACAGAGGCCACTTCGCACTTGGGTAGGTAACAGGGGGAAGTAAATTTTGGAATTAAAACTGCCTCTTTTAATAACCACATAACACTTGGTATCCTGCAGATAAGAGTTACCACTGATGAAAGTCCTACATCTGCGGAGCCAACCCTGACAACATGAGTACCCTTTTGTGAAAGTTCTTTGAAACTGTTAAAAATCTTATCAAACGAGGAACACTACCTTCAGCCCTGATATTTATGGAAAAAGAAAGTTGGGTAACCGAAATTGCTTCAGAACCTACATTAGAGGGTGTCTGCTTCCATCTGCTTTTTTTAGCAGCTTCTCCCACACCATTTATGGCGTTGGGTCAGAGTCTTAAGGAAGTAGGACAAGTCCTCAACACCAGGAGAAAGGAGGACAAAGCCTAATTATGAAAATGAAAACTCGGGAAAATCTTTTTAAACCTGGATCTCCTCAGTGCTGTTAAATTGCTGTATAAAAATAGTGCAGTGATGCCCTGGCTGGTGTGGCTCAGTGAACTGAGTGCTCACCTGAGAACCAAAGGGTCGCCAGTTCGATTCCTGGTCAGGGCACATGCCTGGGTTGCAGGCCAGGCCCCCCAGTAGAGGGTGCACGAGAGGCAACCATACATTGATGTTTCTCTCCCCCCCTTCCAAATTTCTTTTTAAAAAAAATAGTACACTTACACGACTCCACTCTAAGAAGATATCTAACCCAATTAAAAAATGGAAAGGGACTTGAACAGACACTTCTTCAAGGAGGACATACAGAATATCCAGAGACACATGAAGAGATGCTCAATATCGTTAGCTATCAGAGAGATGCAAATTAAAACTACAATGAGATACCACTTACACCGGTCAGGATGGCTATCATAAACAAAGCAACAAACAACAAATGTTGGAGAGGTTGTGGGGAAAAGGGGTCCTTAGTTCACTGCTGGTGGGATTGCAGACTGGTACAACCATTATGGAAAACAGTATGGAATTTTTCTCAGAAAAATAAAAATCAACCTGCCTTTTGACCCAGCAATTCCACTGCTAGGATTATATCCTAAGAATCCTAAAACATCAATTTCAAAGAACCTGTGCACCCCAATGTTCATAGCAGCACAATTTACAATAGCCAAGAGTTGGAAGCAACCTAGGTGCCCGTCAGTAAATGAATGGATCGAAAAATTATGGTACATATACACAATGGAATTCTATGCAGCAGAGAGAAAGAAGGAGCTACTACCCTTTGCAACAACATGGATGGAACTGGAAAGCATTATGCTGAGTGAAATAGGCCAGGTGTTGAAAGACAAATACCATATGATCTCACCTTTAACAGGAAGCTAAACAACAGAACAAGCAAGCAAGCAGAATAAAAACAAAGACACTGAAATAGAGAACGGGGACAGTGACCAGAGGGGAGAGGGAAGGGAATTTAAGGGGGAAAAAGGGGAGGGATTTGGAGGAACAAATATGAAGGACACAGGGACGAGAACTAAGAGGGGTGGAAATGGGAGGGAGGTGGGGAGCACGGGGTGGGGGGGGGGCCAGGATGGGAGAAATAGACAAAAAACTGTACTTGAAAAATAACTAAATAAAAAAAGAGACCAAAAAAAAAAATAGTACAGTGATTATGGGTATTTCCTAAAATTTCAAGTTACAAAGTGCTAGCAGTTAAAATGGAAGGAATAAAGTGAAATTTCAGAGTCAGAAGATAGAGTCATCATTATTTCCAAAGCTGTAAAACTTTTTAAGTAACTTTGATTAAAATGTTACAAACTGAGAACTAGTAACAATGAGCATCTGTCCCTGTGTTCCTGCGGTTGTGGGAGTGACCCCATAAATTTCAGAGGACAAGAGCTGAGTGATTCATCTCGGGAGACACCCTAGCCCAAGGGCGGTATTCTCCTTTGGGCCATTTGCAAGGGAGAGAAGTGGGCCCAGTAGCACTCACTTGGCCACATGACCAAACTCCAGAACTGAACAGCCCACTTGTTGCCATGGAAACTCGGGCCACAAGAACTGGGAGGAAAGCAGGAAGGAGCTGTAGGGAAGAGGACTGGCTGATGGGTCAGGTACTGCTTGATCTTGATCTGTGAAGCTCTATTGATATTTGAGAGTCTGCAGTGTCTGGTTGTGTGAACTTTAAGCTTTATTAGGCTCCAAGTCATAAAGTTCTTGTCTTGTCTTGGCAAGTGCCATGGCTTGCTCTTCACCTAACTGGCACTGGCCCTCCCAAGTTACTCCGATCAGCACTGGGGTGGTGCCGAGCACATGTGGCGGCATTCACAAATACTGGGCACCTTTTGATTAGAGGCGACATCAGGAGAGAAATATTTTCCTTGCCTGTGCTTCCTTAACATGTCAAGGGGACTGCAAAACAAGTTAAAAAGCTCTAGAAGTACATTTTAAACAAATTAAAAGTCCTATCAGTGACCCTTTAACTTCTGCCGTGTAAGGGTTAGGTTATCGGGGAAGGTGACAGAGGCAGAAACCGGAAGGAATCTCAGAGAAGGAGGACCACCTTTCCTTCCTTGGAGACATGCTGTTGGACACCTCTCATCCCAGCTATGCCGCTGTCGATGGCCAGCCCTGACTGGGCAGGAAGATGTGGCGCCCTGGGCCCAGGCGTCTTCTCTTTCTCCTCTCATTCTATGGTTAGCAATGTCTTAACCACGAACAAGTGTTTAGATGTTGATCACACAGCAGTTCTCAGTAAACATTTCTTGGATGAATGAATAAAAGAATTGTGCAGAGACTGGTCATTTTTTCACCCGACTAATCATCTGATATGTGCTCACAGTCCCTACCCTGCAGGGGTTCACAGCCAGTGCGGTTGGGGAAGACGTTTTCACACGCAGTGATGACGTCCCATGTTGTGTGATGAAAGTGCTGTAGGAACATGGAGGGTGAGACTGCAGACACTTCTCTGGGGAAGAGACGGAGCAAAGGCATGCTTAACATCCCCCAGCCTTTGGGGATGCTTGGTGCACCTTCAAAGGAATTCTCGGGGGACCAGGGCTTCTTCAGATTCATATTCATACACAGGTATAGTCACATGCCAGGGCCAGAGGAAGCTGGGGTAACAGGTGCGTCCTTGGCAGGGAGGCTCCTATGAAGCTGGGAGGCCTGCAGCACTGGAGGACACCACTCCCCAAGGTGAGCTGCCCCTGGGCACTACTCAGACTCCAGGTGTTCGGACTAAGTAAGCCTATGCTGTGGCCTCCTACCCTGGCCTTGCTGGCTGCAGCTATGCTGGACCTGGGAAGGGTGCAGGGGGCGGGGTTTCTGTCTGCACGATGAGTGAAGGACAGGCTGCTGTGCCCATGCCCACCACCTCACTATCATGTCATGTCAGTTTCGTGCTTTTGAATGCAACTAACAAAATACCAACCAACAG